TTTGTCTAGCCTCTGATCTCATGTTTGGCCAATCTGTCTTTTTTACAGAATGAAATCGAGAAAATTTTCACAGTGGGCAATATTCCAGGTTTGCCTTCAGCTAATTAAGTGATATTAGGGAGGTTGTAAATGCCACATAAAAATTGGCAGGCAAGCTGCTTCTAATGATGAGAATATTGCTTTACAGGGAAGTGCAGCTGCAGCTTCTTAATGCTCATCTTAGAGAGGACCAGTTCCACATTTTCAAGGTTGTTCCTGATAAGACAAGATCAAGGGTGCTGCACAGCTGTTAGCCACACTTCCCACTCCCCATCCCAGGGAAGCTCACAGGGACAGGGAAGGAGGGCACAGAGAACCACCAGTATTGTCATTTCTGTAACCAACAGCCAAGGGCTCCTGCATGTTCATGTTTGGGAGGTGAGGGGACTAGGCAGAGAGGGAGAGTCACCCATCCCAGGGCACAAAGAGGGTTAAGTGGCTCAATCCCAACTCTTTATCACTGGGTGATCCTCCCTTGCTCAGCACCGAAGACACAAGTGGGGCACTAGATTACTAGTCAGTGCAGGAACTCTTGGTAGTTAATAGCTACTGATTAGGCCAGGGTGAGAACCTGCTGACTGGGCAAAGGCCTCCAAAACTGAAAAAGGCCCTAGATGGAGCTATGTAAAACCCCTAGTTTAAACTTTGGTGATAAAGCGTTTGTGGTAATTCAGATGGGAAAAGTCTGGCAAGCATCCTCTCCAGGAGGATGTTTACTTGTAGAGAATACACTGTATCTGGGGACTTTGGGGTTAAGGCAAAGCTCTGCGGTGCTTGGGTGCCAGTGGCTCTGACCTGAGGCCAGGACTCAGGGGAGCCAGCCCCATGTACCCCTGCATTTGACTACAGCCTGCTAAGCACTGGCCAAGCACATGCAGATCCAGGTGTTAGGGGTTAAGCGATCTATCATTTCAGATTGCGTACCTGTTTGATAAGATCAGGTAACACTTTAACAAGGTTGGTTTGAGAAAACTTATACAAATAAAACAAAACTACATTTCTTTTATGACCAGTCAACAATTCAGACTGTTGTTTCTCTACTAATTTTAAGAGGAGGGAGCAAGAACAGAGGAGCATAGTTAATGGATTACTGATAAAGGTGATGCCCCAGATGGTTCTAGGTACATGAAAAACATCAGAAAGACACAGGTGGCAGTGGCCAGAGGTGGACAAGTCTTAGGTAGCTACAAACTAAATTGTTTGGGGAAGCACAGCACATTCATGATAATAGCACATAACTCACATGAGACAGGGTGGTTAAAACCAGCAGACTTGCTCTTCCATATCAGCCCGGTAGCACTAACATGGTGAGGTATTCTACTCTTGAACCATTTTCCATAGTGTCAGATAGCTGAGGGGATCTGTAGCCCTGTGTGCCTCCTCACGACTCTTGCGACTGCCCACACAGACAGACACCCTGGCAAACAACACAACTCTGCCCTCCCGCAGCAGACAGTAGTACTAGGGTTCAGTGTCTCCTGGGAAGATGGAAACTTTGGAAGGTCTGTTACCTTTGCTTCTCAGGAACTGCTGAATCTACCTTGCTTCAAAATCAGAACTATGTTTCACAGGGGGAAAATGCTGTGTTTGTGATGGATGTTGCTAAGGGGCCATTCAATATTTTACCAACAGTACTGACTTTCTGTGTGCATGTCTATGTCGGTGGTTGGGGTGGGGGTTGCTTTGGCAGGCCTGTGTGTAGGTGTCAGAAGAGTTTTGTAACAATGACTGTGTGCAGGGGAGAAACATCTTGTGTTCCTTTCAGAACTAAGCACTGAAAAAATAGACACAGACCTGGTGATTAAGATCTCATTTGGGGACATTTCTTTTTCTGAACAGTGGTCAAGTAAAGGAATAAAAGCATACAGATGAGTTAAAACTTCCCTTTGCTGTCACATGGAAATAGTCTCCTAAGTTAACTTGTCCTTGCTTCATATTTTTAATGCTCAGACGAACCCCTTGCTTGATGCATGACGAGGTGAGACAGGATCTTGCTTAGCGTGGGATGGATTTGGTTCACAGGTATCAGAGGTCTGCATGTAACATCTAACTATTCTAGGCAGTAAACCTCATCAAATGGAATGCAGAATAATTTGGCGAATTTAGTGCTATTACTTGATCCACCCATACAAAAACATAAGAAACCACTCTCTTTCTTGACAGATGGATTTCAGGAGACGCTTGAGCTCAGAACAATCACTGTGGCCACAGTATAACTCTCTGCACTTTGTGGGCTTTAATGGACTTTTCTTCCCAGTCCTCAAAAAGCAGCAACTGGCATTTGCTTGAGCCCTGACTGAGGTGTGGAAAATCTGTCAAGTTTTCTCTGCTGCTTATCCTGACCACAATTATACGGTCCATGTGCAGATTAGCTGCAAAGTCATTCTTCTTGCACGAGTGACAAGATTTTCCCAAATAAAAAAGGTGCCTACTGTATCTGTGAGTGCCCGTCTGCGTTATCAAGGCGGGGGTGGGATGGGAGGATGTCAGTGTGTGGAGAGAAATGCCTTCAAAAGAAGGGCATAACAACCCAAAAAGTAGCTGTAACTGAGTGGTGACATGGCCAGAACAGAGAGCGGTATTGTCACGGGCGGAGTAATCCTGTGACACACTGCTGTCACTCACCACCCGGCTCCCTGCCGCGCCAGCCAGACATCAAAGGCTGCCCCATACCATCTTACATGCTCTTTATCGGCTAATCAGCCCATTCTTCCCTAAATAAAGCCCTGTTAAATCCCCCGCTCACAGGGGTATCGTAGTCCTGGTGCCCATCTGCTAGCAGGGTCAGCCGAAGCAGGAGGCGGTGGCTTGCTCTCTCCCTAGTGGCTTCTCAAGGTAAGGACAATGCTGGCTCCAAGTCCCCCTCCCAACGGCCTCCTTGCCTTGCTGCTCTGCTTTCCAGGGTCTGGGTAAGAGCTGAGGACATCCCAGTCTGAAGAGCTGCTATCTGGATTAACACTTGCTAATGCAATTCCCAGTCATAAAAGTAGATTGGCTGCCAACAATAAAATACTGGGACTGCATTTATTTGCGGGGAGAAGAATCAGCAAAATATGGATTTCTTACCAGTCATCAACTGGCAGGTGCATTATCTTCTTGAAGTGCCAACATTTTAGAGACGGTGGCAGGATGGCCTGGCTTCCAGATCACTAGGAGGTCACGCTTAGGCCTGACCTCAAGCTTCACAGACTCAAAATCAAAGTTAGCATGTGGATATACCAGCCACCTCCAGTCTCGGGACAGCAACCTAACTCTGGCACACAGCTGTCGTGTAGGGGAGTAGATGTAAGGCATCTTTTCCCACTGGGAGGACGGGTCAGAGAAGTCTCTGGCTGTAGCCCTGCCCAGAACATGTAGCAGGGGCAGCAGGCAGGGCCCTGTGCCTCAAAACTGCCTGGAAGAAACCAGTGCCGGATGTGTCTTAGTCTTGTTTGGGCATGCATGAATAGCAGCATGTGGAGAACTACCTGCCTCACAGAATTACTGGAGTGGGGTCCTATCTGAGAGGTACTAATATAAGAAAAAAAGCAACCATCTTAAGAAATCAAAAACTGGCATTAAATTTAGGCAAATTTTATCCATTACAAAGAGCCTTGAAGATGCCAAGTCCCTGAACAGATCAAGCTGGATGTTCCAGCATCTTAACCCATCTGGTTTCTAGGTCTCTGTTCTAAGGTGCTTCATCTGTATGGCCCACCCTCATGCTGATTCTCAAAACAATCTTGGGAAATCACTAAAAACATCAATTTCCTTCTCCCTTCTGTAGTTGGGGAACCCGAGGCTCTGGGAAGTTAAGCAGAGACATGGCCCAAAGCTCCGAAGCTCACATCACAGTGGAGTTGGAACTGAGTCCAAGTCCCCTGCTTCCAAGGCCAGTGATCATTTTCCTATACTGGGTGGTCCTTTCTCCCTTTTGTCCTCACACTCCAGAGAAACCAGGCCCTGACAAGGGTGGTGGCGGTGAATGCACAAGCAGGCATTGTGTGGGAACGTGCAGGAAAAGTGTGGCACGCCCACAGATGCTCAGAGTCAGGGCAAGTGGATTTTGGTATTTGTAATTAACAAGCAAAAAGAATGATGTGCTATACAAAATAATTGTCCAGAATGTTCAAGGGCTCACAGACCCCAAATGTGTGTTCGATGTATCCTTCTCACACAGGTGCTGTAAAAGCAGTATCAACAACCCATCCCCAATTTCCCCATAAAGCAGCCCATGGGATCTGAAGTATTCTGGTTCCTGCAAAGGGCTAGGGCTGGTATTAAAAGTACACCGGTTTCTGAGGAGAGAAGACCATTTCCAAAGGTATTTTGTGGAGTTTCACAACCTCCTGAGACTGTGGAGGGGGACTCAGAACTCAGGCTTCAACCTGTAGGGCAGCCCTCCTTACTCTCCTCCTTACTCCCTAAGACCTCTGGACAGTTCAGAACATGCTTTTTGAGGGAGAGGAGGCAGGGAAGGGAGGGAGAGTGTGGCGCTTGCCACCGCATGTGCTCACACACCAGAGGTACATGTTAGCACCAAGGAGAGCAACGTGGTGCAGGGAGTCCAGCGTCAGCCCTCAGTGCCAGGCTGCAGGAGAGTCATGCTAAGCAGGAACCCTGGACACAGCCCCTCCCATCTCACCAGGACAGGGCCAGGGGAATTTCACAGAACATGCCAGTTTTCGAACAAGTCCTTGAGGCTTTCCAGGGTGATCCACAGCACATCTGAAGCTCTGACTCCAGCAAGTCCCTGAGTTACTCTTCTGGTAGGCAGTGAAGACAGCCCAATAGGTTGGTCTTGCTGCCCCAATAATATCCCTACATCTGGACCTGACAAGAGACCTCACTGCATTTCTGCAGGTGCCTTAAAAACATTCAGATTAGGTATCTTTCCTCTTGTTCCAAGCACTGTCAGTAGAGCTCTCCACACCCACCTGAATCCTAGCCATTTGTCACAGGACCAATTCAGCTCATCTTACCTGTTCAGGTTTGCTTTCCTTTTCTTCACAGCTGTGACACTAAGCTTTTGGGGGGCATCTCTCAGCCCGAAGCTTTTAGCCACGTGACCAAGGTGGAGCGATCGGACATGAAAGATGTGCTTCAGCTCCCGGGGGTAGGTTGCATAGGCTCGGATGAAGGCCTGTAGAGCTGCAAGGGAACAAGGTCAGAGAGGCCGTCAGGATGGCAGCTTGGAGCGCCACACATGCCCTGGCCTAGCAGCTGTCCAGCACACTTTGTCTTGCTAGGCAACGTGAGATGCACAGCCAGGATGGCACAACATACGTGAACCACCTCTATCTATACTTGTGTATATATTTTTTTAATTCCTCAAACTCCTGATAGGACATAAGTATCTGTTGACTAATCTAATTTCAGATTTTACTGTGCATCTTATCATCATCCTGGAGGGCAGGGGCCCCATTTTCTCCTTTATTACGGTCTCGGGGCCTCGCATAGTAGCTGGAACACAACAGGCAGCTAGTGTTTGTTGTAAAAATGACTGAAAAACAGAATGAGTGAAGAAACCACAACATGTTCAATGTGGTAGTCTCTCATGAAAAATGAGATTAGACCTTTATGTGAGGAAAGCATTTTTCTAATTCATTTATTTTTTGCATAGCTAATACATGCACATGTTATAAAATTCAAAAGGTTCCAAAGGCCTTACTGCGCTTGTTATTATGCTATCACTGCAATGTGTTGCTACTGCTATAAGGTTGCTCACCCGCAAGTCCCACCTCCAGCTCCCCTATCCAGAGGGATGGCTGCTACTGCTTCGTTTACTCCTGGGATTTTAAAACCAAATTCATTCTAAAGCATCTTAAGATTTATTGATACAGTGCTTCTTACCCACTTGAAAAATGCATAAAAAAGGCAATGAAAACAGAATTTTAAAAAGGTAGAAGGCAATTATTAAATTTCTAACATAGTCCTTCCCTTGAAGATTGCCAACAGTTTTGAGATGTCCATCCAACATTGCATGGTGGTTTCAGTCCTGTCTTAAGAAGAAGGCCCCTATTCTAGAGCCCAATGCTGGCCAGAGAAAAAGGCAGACGTGGTTCCCAGGAGCATGGAGCTCTGGCTATACCTTAATTTAGTATTCCTTTGAGGAAAGAGACGTTCCTATATCCAGATGCCCTCGAATATATTGAATTCCAATGAAAATCAAGTGTCTGCCTCTTCTCACTACAAAAGGGCAGGAGAGGATGGATGGCTCTGAAGGGGCCCCCATCCCATCACTGCTCACTTTCCTTCCAAGCCCAGCTCTTCCACTGGCCAAGCTGCGGCCCAGCACTGCTTGTCTCATGGAAAAGCAGGTGCTAAACACCAGCCTCTCTCGCCCTCGCTTGTTGAGCCACTGGACTGGCAAGTTTGCCCACAGCTTAAACGTAATATCCCAGCAGCACCTGGAGATTGGCGTTTATGAACAGTAATAAAAAGTGTCATTTTAGCAGATCAGCTCCTAGAAGGATCCTGGGAATCCATGAAAGCTCTATTTACTGAGTAAAGTGAACTCCTTTTCCCAATCGATGAGAAATAATAACCAAGGCAACTCCTCTGCACCCCTCTCGTAAATCTGTGCTTACTCCCCTTTTTAATAACCGGGGACTAGCTTTTTCAGGGAAAATCTTTAACACTTCAAATGGCCTGCGCTGTCTGCAGGTTCTGGCACCTGCAGGTTCTGATAGCAGGTTTCAGACATGGAGCTATACACTCCAGTCCTCAGGGAAGCCCCACTGCCACCACCCTGGGACACAGGCCTCTTCTCCTCCACACCTCACCTCCCCTTCCTGAGCCTCAACCGGGACTCGGGTCTAACAGAGCAGACAGTAGCCACCCTGAGCCAAGTCAAAGACTCTGCACCTTTACAGTCTCATGCACACTGCTTGTAAGCACATCAGCCTCCTATTAAGGCTGAGGATGGAGAGCACCAAACTTAAGAGCTGAGGATGGTGAGCCTGTCCCAGGAAACGCAGGTACCCAGCTAACAGCTCTACAAGCCTAATGAGTTTGCCAAGAAATGGCAGATGTGTCTTCTCTCTCCACAACTGCTCAGGCAGCATTTCACACTATGAATTTTTACTAACCCTCCTTGTCCTGGAGGCTCCTGTCTCACTGGGGCCAGGGACACTTGGCTGTCCTCACATCCTTGAATGGCCTCCCATGTCTGGATGGTTCAGAGAAGCAGGAATTCCAGCAGAAGCTGTTCATAGATGCTTCCCAGGGGCAGTGTCGAGAATGTGCAGCAGGAATAGGGGCTGTGGGGCCCAGAAGAGAGGAGAGCAGAAAAAGAGGGCATTTATTCAGGCTGGTGGAGGAAACTGCAGCCACTTAGAACACGTGCTTGAGTCACAGTCTCCCATCTTATAGCCGTAAGAGAGACAAACTAAGGGAAATCTAAAATACCCTACATGGCCATTTCATCCTTGTTCCTAAAATCAGATTTATTCTTGGACATCCGAGCAGGAATATTAGTACCTTATGGATGATGCTTAAGATCAAGGAGGTACACCCCCTCTGCCCCCAGAAAAACGAACGTCCATACAGAATAAAGGCACATGCATCTGACTACCTGGGATCACACTGAGGGAGGGGGACTGAACTGTCACCAGTGGTTTGGGTTTTCTTGACTTAGAGAAGCAGCCCTTCCAAGCCAGACTCAGCTTCTCTGTGTGTGGCCCCTGCCCCTCCAGGAGACCTGAAGCAGAAAGAACCTCACTATATGAAAGGGGTGATTTGTAGGTAAAGGACTCCAGTTTCTGAAATTTTTGTTCAGGAGTCTGGAGTTCAAACTTCTGTTACCACAGTCTTTAACCACTTGATCTCTAGCTAAAGGAGGCAAGAAATGAGGAGGAAAAGAGGTGGCTGCTTCTGGAAACTGACAATTAAACACTAGTTATTGGGGATCCCTGGGTGGCGCAGCGGTTTGGCGCCTGCCTTTGTTTGGCCCGGGGCGCGATCCTGGAGACCCGGGATCGAATCCCACGTTGGGTTCCCGGTGCATGGAGCCTGCTTCTCCCTCTGCCTGTGTCTCTGCCTCTCTCTCTCTCTGACTGTCATAAATAATAAAATAAAATAAATTAAAAAAAATTTAAAAAAAACCACTAGTTATTAACAATGACTGGGTCAGGAAATGCAAAAGGAAAACAAATGCATCCTTGGCCCAGTTTCTAACTAGTTTTCTGCCATAAAGGCAAAAACCAGCTGCTTTGTTAATTATTTATGAGGTAGGCTCTGAAATGGCATAAAAGAGAGGCACAGAATGTCTGGAGTGGGGAATTTGCATATGCAGATTGAAATGCTGAAGATAGTTTTGACTTCGGGGTGCAGTCACTGTCCCACGTTGTGAACTGAAGACTCTGAGTGGCGCTTACATGTCTGCTCCCCCCATGCCTCCAGAGCTCACCATGCCACGTACCAGAAGAGAAAGGAAGGAGTGCTTAACATCTATGTGGAAAGGCCAAGACCTACTGCAGGCAGTCTCCTCCCAGACCATCACCAATCTGATGTGGAAATCAATTAGCAGAGGAGGAAACTGCATGTTTCTTTCCTTCTTGGGGCCTGAACATTGCAGAGCAGCCCCACTCCGACATCCTTTAGAGAGAAGACAAGTAACTCTGCTTGTTTCTTGGTATGAACGATTTCTACGGTGATGATGACAAAAGAAAACACAAAACCACACTCTCTAAGGACTCCTTACTACAGCCTCACTCTGACGACCCAGACACCCTGAGACAGCTGTAGTCTCACTAGAATATCCAAAACACCCCTGACCTCAAAACCAAAGATGAAGATGAAGGTGTGAGCTTGATTTCTTTCTTTTCATTGCAACTTTGTTATTAACCCAGAAATTCTGCAGCACAGCACCTAGGGAAGTACCACCCAGCAAGCTCACTTTACCTGTCAACAAACGACCAACCTCTGTAGTTATGCTGTGACAGATAATCTATTCCTCTTGAGAGACATGTGCCAGTACTTCTCTAAAAGTAGGTTCTGAGGAAAACCCTTAGGAACTGCTGAATTCACTTGAGGGAAATGCAAGGATAAGCTACCATGAGAAATGGGTCCAGAAGGGTACACACTAATTACATATCAGTGGTTATGGGGCCATCACTGGGACTTCATCTTTCATCCTGGGTACTTCTGATCTGTTCCAGTGGTATACCACAACAACCAAGGGCTGCTTTTATAATGTGCCAGGGTATACAGTAGGCACTCATAAACATCTGCCGACTAACCCATTCTTATCCTCTATTTCCTGAAGACCACAACTGCCTGTAGTTAAGTCCCCCAGCACTCACTCTCGCCCACCCCTCCCGAGTCTATTCTCACACAGGGCATCTTTTCCAACCTTGGTGGGCCATGCTATGTCTCTGCTCCAAGTCCTGCAATGACTTCCATTGCCCTTGGGGTGACCCCAAAGTTCTTGGCAGCTTCTAAGCCTCCCTTTGCTGCATGGGCCCCTCCCCTCCTGTGGCCACACTGCCTCCCAGAGCTCCTCTGGGCCTGGAACACTCTTCTGTCGCAGGAGGGCATGACCCTCAATTTGCTCATGCTGCATCACAGCAGGGCTCATGTCGACCTTCTGTGTAAAATGCACTCTGCCCAGCTACCCCTTTACCTCCCTTACCTGCTTTATTTTTCCACAGTTAACACCTATTTTATTTTTAAAAAAGATTTTATTTATTTATTTATTCATGAGAGAGAGAGAGAGAGAGAGAGAGAGAGAGAGGGAGAGGGAGAGAGAGGCAGAGTCACAGGCAGAGGGAGAAACAGGCCCCACTGCAGGGAGCCCGACGCAGGACTCGATCCTGGGTCTCAGGATCAGGCCCTGGACTGAAGGCAGTGCCAAACCGCTGAGCCATCTGGGCTGCCCCAGTTAACACCTTTTAAAAGACTAATTCAGTCATTCATTTTATTTTTACTATGTACAGTGTCTGCTCCCTCACTAATGTTAGAAAGGTTACGATTTATTTCTGTTTTGATTCCTGATATTCCGAGCACCTAGAACGACTAACTCAATAGCTCTGTTAAATGATTTAAAAAAAAGAATTTTCAATTCATAAAAGGAAAAGATGATGCTGTGGTGTTCACATACTGGTAAGCCAACCTGGCATTCTTCTCGAAAGAGCAGATAACCATCAGAAAGAAGGGGGGGGGGACCCTGCATGGACTGCGTCTCATTGGCACGAGACACAGTCACCAGCCATGACACATGGCATACCCATCCAGCTGTTTTGAGCCCCCTTCCCCCAGGCTCTTTGCCCTGTACGCCAGGGAACTGCTTGAGTCCTGGTGATCCCAGGAGCCAAGTTATCCTATAAGAGGGCCTGAATGTTAAATGAACACCTAGCTCTCTTGTAAATTCCCTACGAATTGGGGTCAGGGTCTAGTGCCCTCCCCCTCAGTACTGTTCTTTCTCATCTTCCTTTGTATGTCCAAACTGAGACTGCTCAGGTCTGATGGCTTCTGGTCCTTACCTTCATCTCCAATTTCCATGCCTACAACGGTCTCTACTGATGTGTCATGTCTCTTCTATCCAGTTTTCAAAGACAGACAAAAATGGATCCCTGAGATCCAAGTCACTGGGTCAAAGTTCTAGTCTTACGTAAGCCAAGATAAAGCCTCATTTGTGTGAAACATGGGAAGGATGAAATTAACATTTAATACGGCTTTAAAGCCTTCTGTGCCTGCTTCCAGACGCTGTAGGACAAGCAAGACAGAAGACCCTAGGTCGGCCTCTCAGCCCATCAGGGGTATGCCAGTGAAGTGGGGACAGCGTCCTTGGGGTTATCTGTCCACAAGCACCTAGGAAATCCACCAACCTTTCTTCGCCCAGGAGACCCTCCTCTCATTGGAGTGCACATAATCTTCAAATACCGTCTGCAAGACTGTGGCTCGCTCTCGGATTTCCTGGGGGCCAGAGGCTCGGGATTTCTGGGAGGGTGGCGGAAGGATTAAAAGAGAGACAGAGTCAGAGTCAGGAATAATGAAGCACTTTATAATAGATTTAATAACAGTAAAACCACCCGGGAACCACCGAGGGTCCAACAAGGGTAATCCTTTCAATATTACTAGAGGAAAAACAGGAGCTATAAAGATGTTAAAGTCAAGCAAAGATGAAGATAGCTTTGTGAGGGAGTAGATCAGGTCTGTTTATTTGTTTACTTGTTTGCTTACTTGTCTTCCTAGCCTCTTGTCACTCACGTTCAAAATGAAGGTCCACTGGGGATACTCTGGAATTGTCCGAATCCGGTTTGGGCATTGAAAACACCACTGAACATAGGCAGATCTCACATGACCGGTGTGTCCTACCAAGGCCTGAAATCTTGCCCCTCCCTTACATTCCACAGGGGAACAATGGGACATTCTCTTGAAGAGGGCCCCATGGGGGCCTGCCTAAAATTGAATTTCAGAGCATGCTCCCTCATTCCTAGGGAGGTTCCGACTTGAGTGTTTCAGATCCATTCTTTCAGTCCGGGACCACTGGACTGGATGCCAGGGACCTATTAAGGAGTGGTCTGTTCTTTCACGCCACGTGCAGAGAAGACTGCAGAACCTCTGCAGCAAACCATCCCTGCATGAGGAGTGATGTCTGGATGCACTAAAGTTCTACAGATGGAAAACGTTAATAAAATAAAATAAAAAATCCTATCCTTTTCAGTCTTCAACAATCCCGGAGAAAAGATTTCCTTTCTTTATATCCCTCTAAAACCAAGTGCTGTTTCTTGTATCTTTTTTTTTTTTTTTAAGTAAGCTCTAAGCCCAATGTGGGGCTTGAAACCACGACCCCGCGATCAAGAGCCGCAAGCTCTACCAACTGAGCCAGCCAGGCGCCTGTTTCCTATGTCTTAAAACAAACATGAATGCTTTCTACTGAATGTGAAACTGAGATCCAAAGGAACCCAGATTCTTCAAACTCAGTTTGGCTAATGTGTTCCCCCAAAGACACGGATTTTCTTAGAGATGCTACTCAGCCTCTACTATAACCCACCACACACCACCCACGTGGGTCACCAGGAAACAGCCAGTGTGAGTCCCAGTCACTGCTTCCCTTAACCCCCTGTGGAGGACAGGGTACCTGCACCTCTGTCTGGCTGCCCATACCTAACCTAGACTCCAGAGTCTCTTTCACTTTTAAAGCTGACAGAGGAAGAACAAAGGGGAGAGAAGGAAAAGCTCATTCTTTGGGTCGACGTCCCTCTCTGTGTTAATAGAGACTTAACAACCTAAAAATGTTTTTAGCTTCGTCAAATCATTCCTGCTACCTGTTTGGTTGATGACAGTCTAGCTGATTTCACAGTACATGGTCCCCTAAGGGTTTTATCCACTCAAATGTCAAGAGAAAAGTCACTCAGGAGCTGTGTTATGAAAGTGGACATTTGCTATTGTCATTAACAAGGATTTTTTTTTTACCCTCTTAACTGATGTAAAATGCAAACTTTTTTTTTGCTGCCCTCCTTTCGTTAAGCCACCTCAGCAATGCAACTGTCACCTTCCTTGTGTGTGTGTGTGTGTTTTTTTTTTTTAATATGAATGTGAAATTAGCGAGGATGCCCTTTCCCCTGGCGGACAGAATCCTCTGTTATTAAAAAGTAAAGCACTTTAATAATGAAAACTTTTTCCTCTTTTTCCTGTGTTTTAACTGTTTAAAATTAATGAGAAGGGCAGAATGGTTGTCAAAGCGATATTGAAAGCCGGGCAGCCAGGACCGAATAAGCACAAAAATCCCTCTAGAGTGTTAGATAAACAGAGCTCCAGCCCGCTCGAATCCCTCTGTTGGTTATTGTATACATTCTGTAACAGCTCTCAGAATAGATCTGAGAGCCAGGGAGGCAGAGAGGTTTCAGAATTCCAATAAAGGCCTCAAATTAAAGACAGCCTGGTGCGAATTCCAGGAGAAAATTAAAGAGACCTCAAGCTTAAGTGACAGGTGACTTGCTTCTGTGTCACAACTGTCAGGGGATTTAGTGATAATATGGCAATATATTACAAAGGGCTTTTCTTATTCCCCCTTTAGGTTTCAAAATGAGGCATCTTTTCTTCCCAACCAAAAAAAAAAAAAATTACATACACACACATATATAATGTGTGTGTACAAGTGAAATAGGTAGAAAAAAGGCGATAAAACTAAGTTCACACGTTTGAAATGATGAGGTCAGTTTTAGTAAAATATAAGAAAAAGTTAATGCAGAAAACATAATATACTCAGGAAAAAGCATGTCTTTCTCCCCCTACCCCCACTTCCAGAAATACTTTATTTTAAAATTACTCCTCTTGAGAATGAGGTATTTTTCAGTTGTCTTCTGGGGAGGACAGTCTAAATTTAAACTGAAGACAGGGGCAGAGTTATGCACGCAGCACCATCTCAGCCCCAGACAGGTAAAATGCTCCCGTAATGAGAGCGGGTCAAAGCCCGGAGGGCGCATGAATGCCCTGCAGGACTGGCTCGCCCACCCCTCAAAGACGCATAGACCTAGTACCGGTTAATGAAGCTAACTTGCAACCAGTGGACCAGGGCTAGCTTAGGAAAATACAGTTCCAATGGTCCACACTCAGTATTTCTTAGGCTGTAAAGCCCTACTGATCCTGGAGAGAATGATGATCAAAGGGACTGAGGGAGGGAAGGGGCTGCTGATCTCATTTTAATATCTCATCATGGCCCAGTCTTTTGTTAAGGTCTGTTTAGAGGCATATTTCACAGAACAAAAAAACTTGTAGAAAAAAAACACATTTGGGTGTGTCCATACTTCGAAGATGAAAAATTCACACTAAGAGGCAACAGATGAGCTGAAGATACTCAGGCTGCATTTTTTTGTTGTTGTAAAAAGTTTTAGGTAGTAGCAGTGGTGGGGGGAGGGTGGCTTTTCTTTTCTTTTTTTTTTTTGAAGCATGTCTTGATGTTGCTAACTTCTAAGGTATTTTTAAACTAAACGGAAGGATTTTGTTTTAATCACTTGATTGCCAAGTTGAGTTCCACCCTCATGCTTCCCTAGAACCTTCTGAGTGCTTCCCAGTAAAGTTGAAAGATCAAATTTATTCTCTTTGTAGGTGGGTGAACATTCGCACACCCAGACGTAGCTATATATATTTTATATACCTAAATATGAAATATACATTTTACAGATGCTTCACTCACTCTCTTTCTGTTCACAGAAGCCCAAAAATGTATGTGCCAAAGGGACATTTACAATGGACTTCAACCAAGTGAGAAGAGGGGCCTTATAATGAGGTGTCTGGCTAAGTGTGTAAAGGCCTATTTAGTGAGCTCACATTTATCTGTCTGGCACTGGTTCGTGTGCTAGACAGAACTGCCCAAACTGAGAGCAACAATTAAAACAAACAGTATTTCTTATTGAGCAACAGAACTAAAAGTTGTATCCAGCATCTACCTTATTCATCTTACTTCTCACACGGATCACACACATAAAACACTCTTCTAGGCTGTAGCTCTGTGTGATAATTAGTAATATAGTCAATTTCATTTAGTTTCTCTTAGCCTCTGAATTCAAGTTAACATTGGTTAAACAAGCCAGGTTTGCATCAATGGGACACGTGGGACTCTAGGATGATTAGTTTTGTAAGTTAATCAGTTATTTTGGTGTCAGTGAAAGCCCAACCTTGCTGAGCGTTTTTTTCTTTTTCTTTTAAGATTTTATTTATTTGAGAGAGAGCAAGAGAATGAGCACAAGCAGAGGAGGGGGCAGAGGGAGAAGCAGACTCCCCACTGAGCAGGGAGCCCCAAATGGGGCTTCATCCCAGGTCCCTGAGATCATGAACTGAGCCACAGGCAGACACTTCACTGACCAAGTCATCCAGCACCCTGAGTGTTTTTTCTTTTTGAAAACAAAGTTCACGGGCAGCCCTGGTGGCTCAGCGGTTTAGCGCTGCCTGCAGCCCAGGGTGTGATCCTGGAGACCCGGAATCGAGTCCCACGTCAGGATCCCTGCGTGGAGCCTGCTTCTCCCTCTGCCTGTGTCTCTGCCTCTTTCTCTCTCTGTTTCTCATGAATAAATAAATAAAATCTTTTTAAAAAATTAAAAAAAAATAAAAGCAAAGTTCACCACACCTTAAAGATATAAAAATACTCTGTCCCTCTCCATCAAGGCAGGAACTTGGGGCTGGGACAAACTGAAGAGCATGGAGTGTTTTCTGCCTCATTTTGGGTCAACCTCCCAGCAACCTACAAGATGGGCACTATTTATTTATTTATTTATTTGTTTGTTTGGTTTATATTTATTTATGATAGTCATCACAGAGAGAGAGAGAGAGAGAGAGAGAGAGAGAGAGAGAGAGAGGCAGAGACACAGGCAGAGGGAGAAGCAGGCTCCATGCAGGGAGCCTGACGTGGGATTCGATCCTGGGTCTCCAGGATCGTGCCCTGGGCCAAAGGCAGGCGCTAAAACGCTGCGCCACCCAGGGATCCCCAAGATGGGCACTCTTGTTCTCAGTTTACAGATGGGAACACTGAGGCTGGAGAGGAGACAACCTGCTGGAGGATGCAGAACCACCAGCTGTGAAGCAAAGACTGAAACCCAAGTCTGCTTGCCTTGGGGCCCCAGCAAGGCTTCAAGGCTGGCCTCATGCCAAGGAAAGGACTTATGGAGAAAAACCACACAAGGCCACCAAAGGGCAGAGGTTAAGACATGGCCATCGCCTGCTCCTGAAAGAGCAGAGGGCACTACAGCTGCTCTGCTACCTCTCCCCTACGTCCATAGCAGGGGCTCCATCCAGAGATGCACACAACGATCAGCTCCCTGGACAGAACTGATGTGTGCCCAGTTCAGAAACAACACCAACAACAGAGCCAGTCCCAGAAACAGTGTAAGTGAAGATGAACCTGGACTGAATCTTTATGATCTCATTTCATGACTTTACTGCTTGTTCTGATTTCTGGAGAGGAGGCAGATGCTAACGTTCCTCTGTGACACAGCAAAAAAGCACAGGGCTTCGTGTCACTGAGTCTCAACTCTGAATCCCACATCCACTACTAACTGATAATGACGATAAACACCCTTTAGAACCAATGTTGGGCTTTCAGGTTATTTCTTACTCAAGCCTCCAATCTCCTAATGAGAAGAATACTAACATGATCTCAACTTGACATATGAAGAAACCAAGGCTTAGGAAGGTCCAGTACTTGCCCAGAGCCTCGGAGCTGGTAAATGAGATTAGGAATCCAACCCTGAGGCCGTGCCCTTAACGTCTCTGCTCTGCTGCCTGCAGGAACAGCATTTCTGAACCTCTCTGTCTCCCCTACACTGTCCTGGGGCTATAATGAAGTGTCCATGGGAACATGAAAAAACCCTACTTAGATGGAGCTTCAAGGACACCTGGGTGGCTCAGCAGTTGAGCATCTGCCTTGGGCTCAGGGTGTGATACCGGCATCCGGAATCGAGTCCCGCGTCGGGCTCTCTGCAGGTAGCCTGCTTCTCCCTCTGCCTATCTCTCTCTCTCTGTGTGTCTCTCTCATGAATATATAAATAATCTTTAAAAAAAAAAAATGGCAGCCCAGATGGCTCAGCTTTAGCGCCGCCTTCAGTCCAGGGACTGGGAGAGAAGCAGGGTGCCTATGTCTCTGCCCCTCTCTCTGTGTCTCTCATGAATAAATAAATAAACATCTATTTAAAAAAAAAAAGATGGAGCTTCAGAAGAAGCGTGCCAGGAACAATGTCTGGTGACTGTTCCATTCCCTTGACAACGAACTATTGATAAGGGATGTTTCATAATGAAACATCGCTTAAAACAACTTGTTGATCAACTGAGTCTCTAACTCCTTCTCTTGCTTACAGGGATCTCTGCTGTGGTAACGTTCATTGACCAAGTGTCACCTCTATGACGATGGCTAACATTACCTGATTGAGCAGTCATCTAGCTGCACTGCCTCAGTCTTGTGAACAGTAAGGGAAGCACGTGCTCTAGGTCAGGCTGCCCCTGCGATGGCCCCTCACTCCTGTAGGTCCTGGTTACCTCACCTAGGAAGTGGGATGAGCATTTGCCTGCTGGGGTCACTGGCAGGATCAAATGGGACCAATAGTGTGAAGAGGGCAGCATGGTCTCAGGACCAGGACAGGTGCTGTAACTGTGTCCCTGCCTTTTCTTAGATACATCTCCTTAGGTTCTCTCTGGAACAAGAGGACTGAAGTCAGGGCCAGTCAAATCAGGCCCCAGCCTCAAGGAGAAGATTCGATTCAAATAAAGACACCTCTTGGGATCCCGGGGTGGCTCAGCGCTTTGGCACCTGCCTTCGGCCCGGGGTGTGATCCTGGAGACCTGGGATCAAGTCCCATGTCAGGCTCCCTGCATGGAGCCTGCTTCTCCCTCTGCCTGTCTCAGCCTCCTCTCTCTCTCTCTCTCTCTCTCTCTCTCTCTGTCTCTCATGAATAAATAAAATCTTAAAAAAAAAATAAAGGAATTAAAAAAAAAAGACACCTCTTGATGCCTAAAGAAACTTTTTTAAAAAATTTTTTAGATCTTATTTATTTATTAATGAGAGACACACACGGAGAGGGAGAGAGAGACAGACAGAGACACAGGCAGAAGGAGAAGCAGGCTCCATGCAGGGAGCCCGATGTGGGACTCGATCCCGGGTCTCCAGGACCACGCCCCAGGCTGCAGGCAGCGCTAAACCGCTGTGCCACCAGGGCTGCCCTAAAGAAACTTTTTTTTTTTTGTTTTTTTTTTTAAAGAAACTTTTAAGTCTGATCAATTTGGCTCTGATTTTCCAGTCTATCCTCAGGCTTAAGACAACAGATGTAATATATTCAAATAATTAATATTTAATAGACAAAATTATATTTAGCAACATTATACACACGGATCTGTGATATATGGAGTAATGGGTTGGAGTGGGGTGGGAGAGCCATGGACTGGCAGAGGCAAAGATGCAGAAAACCAGCAGGAAAGGATGCTCAGGGTTATCTGAACCTGCTCAGGGTCTCCATATGGAACTGCATGGATAACACACATTTTTCTCCTTACCAATCCCAACTTTATTCTTCTTCTGTGTATGGCACCCACATTAAAAAAGAGATGAACTGAGCATGTCTGAAAGGAGATACAGAGAGATCTAGTCCTTCCATGGGTGTCTTGGGTGTATGGGTCCAGTCAGTTGTCCTTGCTGATAGTCTGGACAGGGACCACCAGGGCTGAGCAACGTAACACTCCCTCCAGACTCAATCTGGGCCAGAATGAAACCTCCTTTCTGGGAAGCCTGCCATGGCCCAGCGGACCTCCAGAATGGACAGTAGCCCATTAACTGGATGAAACTGGTAAACACATCCAGAAGCAAAGAGAAAGAAAAAGGAAAACACGAATAAGGTGTGGCTTCATCTAATGTTCACAGTCCCTTAGGTACACGTCTGCTTGACAGAGGAACTAACTATCCCACACACACAGTCTCCACCACCCCAAATCAAGAAAGGAATCATGTCTGTTCACAGTCAAGTATAATAAATAATAAAACTCACCTGGCTTCCCCATCGGCTCCTTTTAAAACAATCATCCCTTGTCAGAACAGACAAAATATCTTCCATCTTAATCTCAGAAATGCTGTAAAAGGAAGGGCACATCAAGGCAAACTTTTAATTCTCCCAATAACATCTGGAATCTTGATGCATAAAACTGGCCTGTTCTCAAGCTAATCAAATATAAAGTAGAAGCTATGCCTACACAGGAAAGAAAATCATTTCCTAGACCTTTAGGAGTTTGGAAGGAAGGGATCTCTATGACATAACAGGGACAGATGCGGTCATATGCCCAACATTCTCCGTCCTCTCTGGTGACTTTCAAACAGGCTAAATTTAGAATTTCCTGTATAGGGATCACATCATTGTTTCTTAATCCATCTCAAATACTAAACAAGTAGGCCTGCTTATTAACATACTACTTTGATTTGAGCAGATAAGGAAATCAAAAAATATTTTGGATAGTCACTTTAGTTTTGTACTAAAAAAAAGTGGGGGTGGGGGAGTGTGAATGGCTAAAGGTCCTTAACTGTTGAGATCAACTCCTCAGGGAAGGGTAACAAGTGACCACAGCACGAGAGCTCTCTTCTCATCCACCCAGAAGGACATCTACCCTCTCACCTCTTAATTATTAAGGGGTGAGAAAAAAATGACTTCTGATGGACCTAGAGCTATGTATAAACAGCTGAGATCAGAATCTGGACTTGTGAGCAGAAGCCACCCTGAGCCAGAAGAGGAGGCCCATCCTGCCTCGTAGTGGGGAAGGGAAGCCACGGCACTCAAACACGGGAGGTGCATGCAGATTCAAGTGTTAGAGCCCAAGGAAGAAACGGGAGCTACTGAAAACATACTTCCCAGGGAGAAAAAAAAGGAAGGAGGAGTTCTGGGGAGAAAAACAGATCATAAAAAGATAAATGATTTCCTTGTATGTTGTTTCTTTCTTTCTTTCTTTTTTTTATGTAACAGCAAATTAAAACATGAATGGCAACCTCTCATGTGGGAGAAGACAATTCTCCCCCTTTCCCCCAAAGGTTACTCTGACAAAGCTATGAATGAAAATGTCACATCTCTGACAGCGATTTACCTGAAATGTGTCACCGCTTCCCTGAACACCCCCAGCCCCCCGCCCCTCCACATTCTCTTCCTCTGCTGCCAGCTCACAGCCCTATGGATATGTGAAATCTTTTTACAGCAGGAGGAGTCAACCGGAGAAGGCAGAGCATGTGTTTTCGAAGGTAGCAGTTTGGGGGAAAGGGCTCATGATTTCATGGAGAATCTATTTTTCATATGAGAGAGAAAAGCTGTGGCTGTTGAATGTGTCTCTTGTTTATGCCTGGAAATCTGAAGGTGAAAACACAGCCCAGTCCTATCTTTTTCTTTGTCTAACGGACTTGCCTCTATTCATCACTTTTTTTCTTGAGGGGAAAAAAAGGAAAGTAAAAGGAACATAAGGACTTGCAGGTGAGATCTTGAAGCAGGGAGAAAGAAAGAATAAGTCCATTCAGAGTCAGGGATGCAAATAACTATATACAGCGCAGAGAGGCACTGTTTTCTGAAAGGCATGGCAGTGTTGACACTCCAGCCAGGGCACGGCTCTTTGGCTGTGTGTGTCTGTGTGACAATGCTGGGGGACCCGGCACAGTAAGTGAACAGGAGCTGGAAAGGAACTGGAGTGATTTACAGTTTAAAAGGGGCTGCCTCCTATTCTAAGAAGTCGTTGCTGCTGAGGAACAAAGCCAATCTAGTCTGCCTGTTTATGGTTCTACCAACAGATCTGAATCACCCTGCCTCACTATGAAAAAGAGACAGATAAATAAATTCAGGCAACTGTCTCATGCCTGATCTGAGAAATGCACGTTTTGATGAAGCATTTACATTTTAATAAACCAATGACGACTTTCATTAGAAACACATTTAAAGGAGAAGTGGAAAACAGGGAAGAAGCTGGCAAACACCAGGAAATCAGAAGGATGCAGAAACAAAGTCCTGAGCATTCAAATAGAGGTGGCAGTGGCCCAGGGCGCCTGTCTCTAGCCCTGGCTGCTAAATCACACTGTCAGGGCGAGTTCCACGGTGCTTGCTGTAGGGAAGGCAGGCAGCAATTTGTTGTGATGGCCCTTGCTGCCACGAGCCTCCGCCTGCCTTCCTGAATCTCTCCTATAATTCATCAGCCGTCCTAGCATCCTGCTGCCTGGCTCCCAGGTTCTAAGGCACAACACAAGCACATCTTCCTTCTCTCTCTTTTTTTTTTTTTTTTTAAATATTTGGATTCCAAAGACGTTCAAGTTTGCTTCTTTCCATGGCAGATCTTCCTAGGTATAATTTTTTTGTATTAGGTCAAGATACCCAACATATAGCCCTTCCTCAGACAGAAATCGGAAAGCATAATCCACAGCTACAACACGGTAACTTAGATCTGATATTTTGGGGGAGAGACTGATCACATCAGGCCCACAAAGCACTCAGTGGTTCAGGAATACAAGCTTCAGGGATCCCTGGGTGGCGCAGCGGTTTGGCGCCTGCCTTTGGCCCAGGGCGCGATCCTGGAGATCCGGGTGCATGGAGCCTGCTTCTCCCTCTGCCTGTGTCTCTGCCTCTCTCTCTCTCTCTGTGACTATCATAAATTTAAAAAAAAAAAAGGAATACAAGCTTCAGTAGGTGCATTTTCAGGGCAGAAACGAGTGAGGCTGGACCCCTCCAGGACTCTCTTCCCCTTGAATGGATGTTCTCTCCACAAACGACCTGAATCTCTTCCTTGGGGTACTTCTGTCTTCATCTTTCTAAACTTGCCCTACAAGTCCAAATATTGAGAATTACTGGATCATGGAGTTGTCTTCTGATTGTGCACATGGTTATGCTGGATTTTCCATAAACACCACTGGCAGTTTTTTCCAGAAAAGACCATCAGAGAAAATGAGTGTTATTTTTATACACATGGCTCACTAATAATTCAGGTTGGTGCTAACTATTATCTTCCCCTTTTGAATGCAGGTTTATATTTGAACTTTTCATAGCCATTAGCCTGAATGAAAGAAAGACCTGAAGCAGAGAAAGAAGACCTGAGAGCAGAGAGAGGCAGAGGCATCCGTGCAGGTAACTTTGGGGCTAGACAATAATCATCTGACTTCCCAACAGCTAGCACCCACTTTTCTGGTGGTGCTTATCAGGTCAAAGTGAATGAGCACGGGAGAACATCCAGGAACTGCTGACAGTAAGGAAAGGAGAACATAAATTGGTAGATCTAGAACAGAAGGTGGGGGAAAGCAGCCATGGGTAAGAGGCCACCAAGGTGCAGTGACTACATGTTTTCCCGTGGATGACAACATACGCCTCTGAAAACACTTTCCAGAGGTCTACAAATTCCTGTGCCAGAGGAAAACAGTCGCAGCGTCGTGATAGGCTCCCAGCCTGGGAGGACAGGGTAAGGGAAGACAGGAGGAAGGGCTACACCTATGGGTCTTCATTCAACCCCCAATGTTTCCGGGGTATAGCTGCCAGTCAAGCACCAGCCAAGGCCCTGAAAGCTCCTGCAAGAAGGACCAGTCAGCCCCTTGCCCTAGGGCACTGAGAAACCAGGAGGAGAGGAAGCTCTTGGTGAGGGAGACTGATGAACTGACCACCAAAATTCCTCTTACAAGTGAGATAAAATATGCAATCTTCCTGAAACCAACAGAATCCACTATTTCAGTCGTGAAATTGTTTTAAGATCTTAAATGACAGGAAAACCCAAACCAGCATTAGTTGGGACCAGGTTCATTAGTAGAGGGGTCCTGCCTCCCCACCACTGAAGGGTATATAAAAAGTACATCTTCTGAGGAAGCCCCAGCCCACAGATGTTCCCATGAGCAACCCCGAGACTGCTGAGTGCTGCGAAGTCTGCCTCCGGTGCAGGGAAGGAGGGAAAGAGAGGGGGAGCTCTCTCCCCAGGTGGGAGAGGGACAGCTCCATAGGCGGGAACTGTGGCGGGGTGGTGGGGACATTCACAGGCAGTTCTCCATGTGGGTGGCCTGCACTTGGTCCCCAGACCAAGTCCTATGCCACCTGTCTGGGAATATCAGTACAGGTGCAGAATGCAATGACTCTGCCAGCGCTCTACTATACAGAAAGAAAGTCTCATCATTTTATTTGCTGCTTTACATAAAACACTGGCTGGGCAAAGTGAAGCACCAGCAGGCAAGATCCTCGGGCACAGTGGTACAGGGGAGCTATGCGCCAGTTCACAGCGTTGGTTCCAAGCAGCACTCAGGGCCCTCTGTGCAGCAAGGTTCGTGTCCTACCCTCCTGAGCATACACACAAAGGACTCTTCCTATACCTCCAAAAACACTTTCTGTATCACTGTGCTATGTCTGAGCACAAGAAATTTGTGAAAGTAGACCAGTGTGAAGAACCCCATGCTTTTAGCAGCCTATTATTAGCACTTGTTACTTCAGGTGCCAGAGGATGTAGTGAAAACGGGACAAAACATGTTCATTTCTGTGGCCCAGCTGAGTTCCTTCTGCCTTCATTACATTCACTCCCGGCCATGTCGAGACCCTATTCTCTGTTGCTGCTTCACTGTCCTTCCTGGGTGAGGTCAGGATCTGCTGGAGGCCCTGACTGCGTTTCCCGGCCATTGAGGTGCTGGCTGCATAGCCCCGGCTGTGAGGGGCATCTCGGCTGCCCCTAAAGGATTTTTTCCCTGACTTTATTTTCCTGGGGGGAGCAGGGAGCTGTGTGAGGAGTCAAAGCACTATTTTTTTTTTTCAAAGACAAATCATCTTTAAAGGTACAAAACGTTGAGCATAAAAACAAAACCTGTGAATGATAAAGGTCTTTACGCAGCTGGCTGCAAGGGCCGTGCACACGTATCTTACAGAAGGTGAAGTGAAACACAGACCTCTATCATACAGAAAAACCAAGTGCAACAGATCCTTCTGTGACTTAGTCTGGCAACACAATGAAAATTGTCATGTGCTGACGGTATGAAGGGTTTTAGTGTTTGCCACTGGCTATTCTGGGACTCATTTAGGGATCACAAGGGTTAATGGCTCTTCGTCAGCTTACAAGGCCCATCCACTGTAGAAGGCGACAGAAAGTTAATTAGGTGAGATCAGCCGAAACCCCGTTCAGGTTTCTGACTCACTTGATTTTGTGAGAAGCCAACGAGTTGACATATTCTGCCTCCGAAGGAGCCAAAATGAGCAGGCTGCTCCCATGGCAGCCAATCCGGGCGGTTCTCCCGATCCGGTGGATGTATTCAGCAGGTGAAGACGGCGCGTTGTACTAAAAAGGGTAACAAAAATGAAGCATTCACAGATCAAGAGATTGCCATTAATTGGAAGTGCAATACCCCTCACCTGCCTCCAGGTATCCCAAGAATTAAACCCTGGTGCTATGGTTACCCTCACACAATCCCGAGGAGAAGTCACTCAACTCTGAAACCCCTGACTTCACTGAAAATAACAAGGCTCTGACACGCAGACGTGAACAGTGGCCAAGTTTCCGATGAGCGAGTCGCCTTCCTATCCCAGTATCTCCTCTGTAATTTTACTTCTCCACAGGTCTCTTCATTTTCCTATCTGCATCTTTTCAACCATGATGACTGTGCAAGGTGAAGTCAGAGGCGGGCGGGGGCACCTTTCTGCAGGATGGCCACGTGACCTTGGCCTGCTTCTGTGGCAGACACAGCAGTGGGGCGGAGGACAGAGAACCAGACGGGGTCAGCAGGGAGGGGCCGGCTGCTTTGATCAGAGTTCACTCTGCTGTAGGGCCGCTGGGAGCTGGTCCCCACCACCTTACTGCACTTCCACTCAATCCCAACGGCACAGAAGTATAGGGCAATTGAGAGGCAGGTTCCCCTCCTACAGGGACTTGCTTCTGCTCCCAATGACAACATTCCTGACTCAAGGGAAAAGGCAGACTCTAACTCAGCAGAATGCATTATCTTTATGGCAATAACTTCGTCATCATGAAAAGGAATTAACCATCTATCCATTCTTCCTGTTTTCGCTTTGTTGCTACATGACTCAAAGATCAGAGGCCCAAAAACGATAGAATATATTGGGGGGTAGGTGTGTGCCAGGCACATGAATCTCACCAATCTCACAATACAGGAAAGCTCTGAACAGTCTGCCCCGCACCCCCAACATTAAAATTATCCTATCTTTTTTTTTTTTTTTAAGATTTTATTTATTTATTCATGAGAGACAAGGAGAGAAAGAGAGAGGCAGAGGCTCCTCGCAGGGAGCCTGATGTGGGACTTGATTCTGGATCCTGGGATCAGGCCCTGAGCCGAAGGCAGATACTAATCTGCTGAGCCACCCAAGCATCCCTATCCTGCCTTTTTATCTTTACTTTGCTCCATGGCCATGAGGAAGACACAATGCCTCTAGTCGAAGAGTGGTCTTCTGCAGGGAGCAGATCAGATTTCCTAGCCAGTGACAGGCATGCAATTCCACTAAAATGTGAATAAACCATGACTCACGTAAATGGGGCACGTGTCCCCTGGCCCCTACACAGAAGGGCTTAAAAATACCATTCTGCAGACTAACGAAAAGAAAAAACAAAACTGAAACCACTAGACTCTAGTGCTAACACCTGTACCCTCTGGCAAAGCGTCTAAGGCTAGAGGTATGTGTAAGATGCTGTCAGGGACTTAATTGCCCCCTGCAGGTCAATGTACATGGACACAGCTCTTAGGACAGCTGAGCCATCTCCTTCTGGACACAATGAGACCTCCCAAGGGCCCTAGTAATTCCTGTTATTTTCAGATTGCTGAAACTTTGTGTGTGACATGCATTAGTCTGGGAGCAGGGGAGCCTGCCTCTCCCTCCCATGACCGCTCAGCCTTGGCTGTTTCCCTGCAGCCGGTAGGTAGGCTGGGTTAGGGAAAGATACCAGGAGAATTGTGCAGATAAGGCTGGCTGCTGCCTGGTTACCAGGGCAACACCCAAGAGGCTAATAATAATTATTCCACTTAAAGCTAATGTATCTACTCACAATCTTATATTTCTGCCTTGAGCTCACACCTTAAAAACTTAAAAATTACCTGAACAATCCATGTGACTTGAGGGAGGTCTAAGCCCCGAGCTGCAACATCCTTCAAAACAGAAAAGAGTATGGCTTATGACTGAGTTTCTGAACTTTTGGGCCATGGATCTATCTGATAATCTAATGCAAACTGTGCACCCCCAATGTGCACAGTGGGTACACATGTGTACGTGTACACACACACACACACACACCACACACACACACACCAGCATTCAACTTCAGGGACCCACTCAAGTCCATCTGTTCTTGAAAATTCCAACTGAGGGGTAAGTTTCACAGAACACGTCAGTGAGGTGGTCACCACTCTACCAGAAGAACATAAACTGTTAACCTCAAAACTGTCATTATCAGTTGTGTCATGTAAGAACTGTGAAAACGTCTAGCATGCCTTATTACTTTCACGTGGTATCTGAACCACTCTATGATGAATGCATTCATCCCTTCCCTATCAGCAGTGCCTAACAATGACATGGCTTTGAGGCATGCATCTAGAAGATCACCCCCAAATATTCCCTTTCAGAGGTGAGTTGCAAAGTCTTTACTGAGGACTTATCAGCCTCAGATAGCAGTAAAGATCAAATAATGTTCCAAAGACTTAATCAGACATGAAAATTATAAAAGCAAAGGAGATATGGTTTTCCTTTTTAGTTGGTTACCACCCAAAGAGCAGAGTTTCTCTCTCTGCTCTCTAGTGTCTGTGTGGTCATTCTGGCAGAGATTAGAGAATAAGTACCTCTCAGTTTTGGGGGATAAATTTACATGGGGCATTCATGTTTAAGCATGACAGTCATAATAAGAATATTCCCCTTCGACATTTACTGAGCACTTACTATACACCAGATGCTGTGCAACACTTCACCTGCATTATCTCAAGTGATCTTCCAAATAGCTCCTCAAACCACCTGTACCCCCATTTGATGGTCAGGAAACCAAGTTTCAGTCAGATTAAGTAACTTGTCCAGAGACACATAGCTAAAATGTAGAGGCAGCCCGCAAATCCAGGTCTGTTTTACTTTTCCACAGCCATATTATACTATTCCACCATCAAAATAGATGCTGCATCCTTCACAAGCTGCTGGTAGGAATGCAAAATAGTATAAAACCCTATAGTAGGAAATTTGGTAGTATCCAACAAAATTACATATGCATTTGCCCTTTGACCCAGATGCAATCTCACTCCTAGACATCCATCCCAAAAATATACTGGCAAAAATACAACATGCTGCATTTTGGCAAAATGTGTAACTGCACGTGTGGAAAAAGCCCCAATATCTAGCAGGAGACAGGCTGACCAGAATACAGCCATACTTACCCCTGCAGCATAGCATTGCACAGCTGAGACAGGATGGAGATGCCAGCATAGACAATCTCTATGATCTGTTCTGGGTGTGCAGAGTAGGCTTTTGCATGAGAAATGAGGGAAAGGAAATATATCTGCTCATCTTTCAAAAAGAAAGAATGGAGGAAAAAAGCCAAAAGCTTACAAAAAGTTACCTGTAGGGGACGGGGCTGGGGTGGTGGACAAGGGTGGAAGCTGGGCTTCCTTTAAGAGGTTTTTATAATTTTGACTGTGAAACATTAGTGTTTTGACAAAAAGAGAAAGACAATGAGCTGTTGTGCCGCAGGAAGTGTGGAGTATCGCCTGTGGTGTATTCTTGCCAAAAACAAAAGCAAATCTAGCCAGGTGTGTAGTTCCAACTCCTGGCTTATAGGATGTGCAGGAGAGGGAGGAGCACGTGGGCCCAACCAAGAAAGTCAAATCCCAAATGTCAAGTATTCTAAAGCACGAAGTCTGGTTTCTTCCAGAAAAAAATCCAAGGAAAAAAAGGAGGGTACCTAAAATAAGACATCACATGGGTAGATGGATACATGGAGAGAGGAACTGAGAGATCACTGGGGAACCTACCCCTACAGAACTATCCCCTGTGGTTTTCTGATGGTACAGGGGTTGTGGTAACTTTTATGTTTCTCTTTACGGTTTCCTCCGTTGTTTGCTTTTTCGTTCAATGAATGCATATTGTTTCCCCAATTTTTCCCCCAATTTTTAACTAGAAAAATTTAACCCAACAGAAAAGTTGGAAGAATAGTATGACGAACAGTCATATATCCTTCGTCTAGATTAATCAACCGCTAATCTTCGCACATCTGCTTTCTCTTGCAAAGTAAGTTGCAAATACCACGACATTTTATCCCTAAATACTTTAGCGATTAGTCCCTAAGTCAAGGACAAGAACATTCTTCTACACGATCACAGTATCATCGTACCTAAGAAATTTACTATTAAATAACTATTTTCTAATAATCACCTCATACTCAATTTTTCCACCTGCACCTAAGATTTTTCTTCTTGCCCAACTCAGGGACTGACTCATAGATCATGCATTGTTTTTATTATATCCCTCTAGAATTCCTTAATCTAGAACAATACCCTTGTCCTTAATATTTATTTAACTTTTGACAGCTCAATTTTGAAGGAATCCAGGAGTCTTGGAAGTACATCCCCGAATCTGTATTTGTCTACCTTGTGTCCTCATGGTGAGATTCTCGGGGAGCTCTCTGGCAGAAAGACATCAGGATGGGTGTACTTCCCAGTACCTGATGCCAGGAGACACGCCAGGGCAGCCTGTCCCGCACTGGTGGCACTATGTGCGATCCCCCAAGGAGTGCATCTACTTGCCCTCTCCACTGGAAGGTACCTTTCTCTTTTGTAACTAATCATTAAACTGGGGAGTAAAACTTTGAGACTGTTTCCCAAAACCTTTTGCCCAAGGGCTTTAGCGTCTACTGACGTTGCTTGTGTGCATCAGCTGTTGTCCTGATGGCAGCAAACTGATGGCTTCCTAGGTCTGTCATTCCTGTCTTCCATTTACTAGGAAGTAAAGCACTTTCCCTTAAAGCACACACAGCTCGCCTTCCTCTCTCTTTACTTTTCATGCAGAAAGCTTTCCTGGAGAAGAAGAACCCTGCACAAAGTCTGCAGGCAGCACGTTGAGACCCCTGTGCCCTGTGCAGCCCACGGTCAGGGGAGGAGCTGAGGAAGATGCTGGCCCACTGTCAGCTAACTCACCAGGAGGGACCACTGAGGGCAGCTGGGATTTGTCTGCCTTCGCTCCGACGACACCTGAGCTGGCGGGTTTCCTCTGAATGGTGGCTAGGCTGCATTTATTAAGTGTTCAGCGAGAATTTAATGTACTAAGTGTGTCAACCACCCACGAAATGTTTTCAGACAGCTTCCACTGCCCTGAAAACTGAAGGCTGATGTTCCAGAGCTGATGCCTTTGAGAACACAATTTAGAGAGTTCTCTATCTTAAAGGGGATCAGGCACTGCTTTCTACACTAACCACAGTTGATGTCTTTAGAAAAACTGACGGGTTCTTAAATCTGCTAAGCTCTTGTTAAGAAATGATTTATTTTATTTAAGTGCTCTGCAGTGGGAGATGCATGTAGACAACGGGCTGTCTGAGCTTTACAGGCAGGCTTTGTAAAAAATTTAATGCTCATCAGTTTAGTAAATTCAACCAAGAAACACAGATGAAACTCTAAAATAGCATATGACGTTCGTGGAATTCACAGAGCACAAACATGCTGGAACAGTAAGGAAGAATGCTAGCAGCCTTCATGGGACTGTTTGCAGTTTGATTTCCCGCCTGGTGATCAGTCTCGGGGTGGGGGTGGACTGGCCGAGACACCATCTTCCCATCTCCCACTACGTCTTGTCTCAGGCTGTGGGACCCTCACTGCCAGCTACCACCGCTCAGGCTTCACCCAGACATTTCTGCAAGTTCTCCTTCCTATTCTCAGCCTAGGCTACTACAGAGAATGGTACAAGGGATAACCTTTGTGGTCTAGGAACAGAGAGAACAGGACTCTACCATCACTGTACAGCCATCCCATTTGGGTAAATGTAGTTCTCTAACCATCAGGTTAACCACCTATACAATGGCTATAAGATCCACCCTATTTATCACCTATCTCGAGGTTGCTATGAAGACCGCATGAGACTGTGCACGTGGAAGTGTGCTAAGAATTACAAATCCAAGGATTTCATTCCACGACGAAGTAGGAAGCGGCATAGTGGCAATTAGGCGGTGGTTTGCTGATTCTCTTCACACCCACCCACCCGCCTGACCTGGGCAGAGGGCCACAGAGAAGTGGGGTCTGCTCCGTCCCCTGGAATGTCATCAGCTGGAGGCACTGGACCAACAGGAAACTGACCTGCCCTAGACTCAGCAAGGTTTCACTTCTCTGCCCATCTTAGAACTTAAATCTGGCTCAACCGTATTCCTTTAAGCTAATTAGGGCAAAAGAATTGCTAAAGTCAGTTCTGAAAGACACTCAACGGTGAGGCCTTGAAGGCTCAGGGCTTGACAATTGGCTGCCTCCATGAGACCAAGGAGTACAGATGGAAGGCAGCTTGCTCAGGTGCCAGCCTGTCAGTTGGATTAAAATGACTCATTTATTTACCCAAGAACCTCACAAAGTGCTTTTACTAACAGGGAGAGGGGGCCTGCCGGCTCTCTGAGCAAGGGACGCAGCAAATTCGCCTCTGCCGCCTTCCCGGCCTGCCAAAAGTCATTATTGCCGTGTGTGGAAAGCCATCAGCGGGGTACAGGCCCCCGTTGTCCGGGTGACAGATTGGGCTGCGTAATCAGAGGAGGAAGGAGAGAGTGCAGAAGCTGTCAGAGGCAAGAGATCTTGGCTGGAGCCGCCAAAAAACTGGCAACATGAGTTAGCGTAACTGAGTAAACAGCCAACCATCTCCAAATGATCTTGCCATTAACACTAGTGAAATAAAGTGGAAAAGATAAACTTTACCTCAAAAGCACACCCCAGAGAAAACCAAGAAAGTCTACATTTATTGTCAGTGGTGAACTCACATTCCCATGACTCTTGCAGCCTCACCTCCTGGCCTCCTTTGTCTCCCAGCCTCCTGGCACAGTGGAAATTCCCCAAGAGGAAGGGAAATTAAGAACTGCACAGACGTAACAGTGTGCTTCAAGACAAAAACAACAAAACCCACAAAAAACAAAGAAGGTGGAGGGAAGCAGCATGGGTGATTTGGCTGTCTTCTAAAGAAAGCATGTGCTGGACAGACAACCAAGATATGGTCCCACGGAGAAGCAGCTGGCAGAGCAAGCGGCACTAGGAGAAAGGTTATGGTGCTCTTTCTACCCAGGATGATCAGGGAGCGCCATGTGGATAACCGAGAGCCCAGTGTCAGCCTTAAAACCTCTTCCAGAATATGCTCTTCCAGTTCCTTGTGGGGCTTCCCTTTATCAACTCATCAACACAATAATGCTGTTGAAACCCACCTTCCTCTCCCTTGGCTTAGGGTGAGTTCTTTACCAGAAGCAGGAGGAAGTATTTTGTAAGTAATCTAGTATCTCCTAACTGGTTCCTTTGATTTCTTAATTCCATTTGGGAAAGTGGGCTTTGAACTTTCCAATGGCTCCTTCCTACTAATCCCTACTCCCTTAACTTGGCTTCTTCTCAGATCTACTTCTCTGGAGGACACAAAATTATATTCTGAATGTGTAAGGACTGCTCTTTCACCAACGGGTCTCTCCTGCCCAGACTATTCTCTCAATCCTGCCTGCGCTTCACACCAACCAGCATGGTCTCGCACATTCACTGGGAACCCACAGTACACAAAGCCACGGACCAGGGTCCTGAGAGGCTGCATAAAATAAGAAACATTCTTGCTTGAATATGTGTATAATTAGAATGAAAGAAACATACACACACACACCCTCAACTGTTCTGAACAACAGAAAAGTCGGCAGAGAGGAAAATGGATTGCGGGGGGGTGGATTTTCAAGCAGTAACTAGCAGCACTGTGAGTTTCTGAGCAGTTATACCACAATTCTCCACTTCTCATGCAAACATTCAGTCTTCTGAGCTTGCTAACAGATCTTGGAATGATAAATCAAAACAGCAAAAGGCATGGTACGAAGGGGAGGGACAATCCCCTTGCTACAATTAACAACATGATTCCTCTTTATCAAAAGAAGCCAGTTCTCCATCTGCCTTGTCCTGACATGGCCCCCATTCCTCATTAACACTAAGGAGGCTCCTGGAGAGCATGCAGAGGGCCTGGCAAGCAACAGGCTGCTTAAAAGGCCACAGAGTGACAGCATCTCCCCAATCTAGCCATGATCTATGGCAGTGGGTCTCCTGTGCCTACAGCTCTCGGGCACCAGAAGCTTCAGGCTGAAGCAAACGAATATGGTAAAAGTAGAAGGAATTCTGACAGCGTGAATGAAGACCTCCTCATCACCAGGGGACCATGTGCTTAGACCCAGGCTTAGAGACGGCCGGCAGTGAGCCCCTCCCCCAGCTCTTCTGAGGTAATCTTCACTGCACAATGAAAGGAGGTGAGGCTGGCAGAAGGGCAGCACGCTGGAAGGTTCCTCAACAAGCAAACGAACATACACCAAGAAACTTTAATGAAATCAGATTGTGGGCAAGTGAGAGTTGGCTTCCTGTGCAGCACCCAGGACTGGTGGGGGGCCAAGGGGTTGGGGTGCTATGCTCTGCCAAGTCAGTGGTGCTCTTTGGCTGACCTTACTTCATGCAGGTATTAGCCAGATGAAACAAGTAAAGTTATCACAGGCTTCTGACCCCACTGAGAATTATCCATCAGAAAGAATGACCTTTACTTCCATGTAAACCTACTAAAAAACCCAAAACCAACACCAACCAAAACACTGAACTTCAAATCCCTGGAGTCCTCTTTGAGACCCAGAATTGAACCATGTCTGTAAAACACACCAGGAGACTTGACAATTTTCCACCAGAGATAAACCCAACATCTTAAAGGTCAAAGATAAAACATTTTGTTCTGTCATAAACTCCACACAAAGGTTCCTACCGCCTCCTGTTTCACCTTGGACAGCCTGTAACATTCACCCCTCAGGCACATCAAGTGTATGAAAAAGGGGGACTTATTCCCACTGTGCAAGCCTAACATCAGCCTCCCTTTCTTTAGAAAAAGGCAGGCAGACACTGGTGGTTCTCAACACTGCTGTTTCTTGGGCCCCAACTATTCATCCATTCGGTCCACAGGTATTGAGTGTGTACACGCACCTGCTCTATGCCCGACACTGGCATGAGACTGTAGACAAGACACAGTCTATCTCTAGGGGCTTGCGATCTCGGGGAAGAATACCTAGACCAGGTGTGATGAGTGCTGTAAAAGAAGTGCAGGGTGCACTAGGAGTGCATAATGGGGAAAAACTGGGGCTTCTAGAGTTCACTTTCCTGAAAAACTGAAATTGAAGGGAAGGCCTAAGGAAGGGCTAGCTTCCCAGGCAGAGGGAATGCATGTATGAAGGCGCCGAGGCCAGAAAACAGGAAGGATGGTACATTCAGGGAGCAGAAAGAGGAGCCTGCCTGGCTGAGGGCAGGGAGCAAGTAGTGGTGGTGGTGATGGTGTGGAGACCATGGAGACAGGAAGGGGTCAAGTATATTATCTGGACTCATCTTCACTTCAGATCTGGCCTTTCAAGATTATTGAGGATGAACACAAGCTTCTGATTTGTGAGTGGGCTTTACAAAGGGTAAGGCTACTGGGTCAGACACAGTCTTCCTCAAGAGGCAAGCATGTCAGTAGTGAGACTGTTCCCAGATCTGGACAACCAAGTCACAGAGCCACCATTTGCCACACTCCTGTGAGAACTGCCACCCTATGATGAGCGGGTGACTGGGTAGCCACCTTGTACAGAAGAAACAAAGCTGTACTCACTCACCCTGTGTTTAGAAAGAGGACGTGTGTTTCCTTGAAAACTGAATGCAGAAGATGGGTTTCTTAAAAACTAAATGCACGAAAAAGTGAGGCCTAGACAGATATGCCAATAGCCAACAGTCTTTGTTCTGCCCAGCACTCGCCCACTGGATGATACTGTTAACAGTGCAATTTCATGACTGTATCAACAGGGATTTCTCAAATAACCAGCTGGGGGTTCAGTTACACCCTCCAAAACAGCAAGGAGGGAAGGTACTTTAATCTTGGGAGCCACGGTGAAGTGAATCCCCAGAGAAGGAGGCACTGAAGGTGTGAGTTTTCAATCTCAAAACAGCACACAAGAGGTAGATGAGAAAGGCCAGCTCTGTGCTGGAGGTGGTGGCTGTCCACGCCCACAAAGACTGAAGTCAAGTGACAAGGCCCTGAAAACTATAAGGGCAAATGAGACTTTTAAACAACAGCAAAGAAAATCTGTCCAAGCTCATGTACTTTCCTTTTAAAAAAGGGAAGCAGAGGCAAGGAGAGTGGTTCTGTTTCGAAAAGACTTTCTCAGCTCTAATTACTCCCGATAGCTGTAATTTACACATTTTTGGTGGATAGAAATCGCCAAGATTCACACGTTTTCAGACCAACAGCTGCCACTATTAGTGAGCAAATCGGCAAGACTTCTGCACAGTGGCACAGTCAGGTGACCCAACCAGAAGTGCAAGGCAACCAGCCGCACCCAGAGGCCCCTGCTATCCCTGCAGTCTGTGAGGCGACCTGTCGAGAGGAATGGCAGGAGTTTCCGGCCTCCCTGGGGAGTGCAGAGGAGTACGTACCGTGCACAGAAGGATGCCTGTTTCACAATGTGAGAATTCTTGAAACACTGCTGTTCTTTCCTACAAAAAGAAGGAAAAACACAGCCTTACAACTCTGAGGTCAGTCCCAAAAGAGTGGGCTTAGGTTCCCCTAACTCCCCCATGCCTTGCTGCTAGAATAATTTTTAGGCACTGAGAGCCTTTATCAAAGAAGAGGAAGAAGCAGATTCTTCACATCTTTTCACCAGACCCTGTCCTTACAGGACTAGGCTTTCTCAGACTGTAACAAAGTAATGGAGTTTTGGGGGCAGCACATCTTACGAAGGCAGGCCCAGAGGGGCATACCCTTTAGGAACAGCCAAGACCAGGAGCAGGCAAGGCCAAAGGCCACAGATTACTGCACTCCAGGTTCCCAACTCCGAATTTATTCTAAACATGTTTTTCTACAGGTAGTCTAGAGGCATGAAGAACAGCCACCTTTCTTACAGGGCAACTTTTTAAAAAGTGAATTTTAAAGAAAACACAAAAATTATAAAAACCATGTATTTTAACTGTGGAAAATTATTTATTTTTAAGTCAGAGGAAGAAAACCAAATTGTCCCACCATTCAAAAGCAAATCACCACTAGCAATCCCTTCTGGGCACATGACCCAACATGTGGGTTCTTAAACAGAATATGAACATCCTTTCATGCCAATAAATCTCCAAAATAACATCATCTCTCGTGACTACACAGTGTTCAGCCCATTCAAGGCTCCGTTACCAGCGTTTGCCTCCAGTTGTTTGCTGTTATACCCAGTGCTGTGATAAACACCTTTAGAGATTATTTGTGGTATACGTGTTTCACTATTATTCCCTTGGGGTAAAACCCTGAAGGCAGTCTCACTGCATCACAACATGTGTCCACTTAAAAGGCTTGCTAAAGGCACACTCAATGTAGGTTGAGTCATAGCACAGGAGCAGTTCAGATTTGGCATGTCTCTCTGTCAGCCAATAGGAAAAGGAATACAACCAAACCACTAAAAGTCTGGAAAAAAGAAAAAAAGTGATGTCTCTCTGTGTGCTGGCACAGCCACCATGCCACTGGGGTGTAGCTCATTTTGATCCTTTGCGTCCATCTATTTTGTCATATGGCTAGAATTCACTTAGTCCAGTGGGTAATGACAACCCAACCAGCACACACAGAATGTTGCCATGTCCCACACAGCTTCTTGTACTCTACATGCCTGGACTTCACCTAACCCATGTGACAACCCCACAAGCAGTATTATCACCACCCCCATTTCCAGAAAGAGAAGCTGAGCTTGGAAAGGTAAGGTCACTTCTTGCCCAAGAGACACGCACGCAGCAAAAGGATGGACTGGTACCCGGACCCAGAGAACCATGTTCCAGATCTGGCACCCAGGCACCTGCTACATTTGCCCAGAGTGCTGCACAGTCTTTAGAAGGGCCATGTTTAACAGTTGCATTGGAGAGTGATAATTAGAAAAGTTCAGAAAAGCCTGTGAGACATCCTGTGGACTGCACGTAAAATATTCAGATGTGGTGTAAGGAAAAAAAACTGCCAAACCCAGAGTATTCCTCACAGTGATCAGGCAGGCAACTTCTTCAAACAGCAACTTCTCCCTAATGCTCACAGTCAGGGCCATAGTAACCACCAGGGAGACCACACTAAGGTCACAAGGAGCAGCGGCCAGGCAGATTCTTTTAGCTTAGTGTGGGACGAGATGGCCCATAGAACGAAATATAGAGATACCACCTCCTATTTCTACCCATCTCATGAAAAGGCCATGAAGGCTAAATATTTAATAAACAGAGTAACACAAGGGGTACACTAACCATTCCAGAAAGAGTGAGAACAGCAGTAATAACGGCACCTACATCCACAGAGCATGCAGGAACCATGTCCGACACTGAGCACGTACTCTGCGTTAACCCAGTGCATCATCACACCAACCCTGTAAAGTAAGTACTAGGATCACCTCCATTTTAGAGATGTGCTAACTGGGGCACAGAGAGGTGTCATGCTCTTCTGAGGTCCTACAGCCAGTAAAGGTGGAGGCAAGGACAGGAGCACACAGCTGTGAGTGCCCTGCTAGGACCACTGCCCTCCCAATGTGAGCCAAATGGTTTGAAAGATTTTTACTACAGAGCCTTCCGCATAACCTCTTCAAATTCTTATTAGATCCTCCTGAGTCCATCCCCAGCTCCCTTGTCATCCTCATGGCCAGCTGCAGAAGGCCTCAGGTGAAGAAGACCAAGAGGATGAGGAGCAAACACTGTAAGTGGCATTAAATTGTGAAATCAACAAACTCAACTGAATTAGGGACCCTGAAGTTAAAAAAGCAAGAGTTTATAAAATGCATGAAGCCTGGACCACTCAGGAAATTCAATCCAGTCTTGTGGTAAATAGGAAGCTGTGTCCTTGAGTGACCTTGAGCAAGTTCCCTTTTCTGAGGCTCCACACCCTTAATTATTAAAACGACAAAAGTGAGCACAAGAAGCGTGCTGGACCAGATTGACTTTAACATCCCCTTCAGCTCTAAAGATGTGTTTTCAAGCTGGTTCAAGTCTTGCTCTGATTCCTGGTTGTCTCTCCTTCTGCCTGTCTCCTGGCAGCGCTTGGTCACCTCCTCCTTAGACAAGATGGCTCCCCCACACAGAGCCCACACGTTCCTCTTCCACGCCAGCGGGCTCCCTTCAGTGTGCTCTCTGCTGACTCCCTACAGGGAACGAGGACCATGCAGCTCAAAACCTAAAATCAGGGAGACACTATTCTCCTCTTCCTGAACAACAGATTACTCAGAGCTGAGACCCTGAAGCCCCTCTCCCAACCAAGGTGTTAAGAGTGAAAGCGCTGTATCTTGTTGACAATGACAGCAGTCGCGCTCAGCAGTACCATATGGGATCCACAATTTAGCTCCATTAATGCTCTTAATTTGAAGACATCAAGCCCTAATTACACACTGGGTACTAAAAAGGCAAAACCCTTCCCTGGTGCCAGCTACTTAGTGGTACTCTGTTGCCTTAACAGCTGGTTGAGGTAGATTCAGGCCAAGACAGGCCTGTGAGCTCTCTCAGGTGGAAGAGGGCAGCTCTTGGAGCAAGAGCACACAGGAACAACAGACGCCCTTGCCCACACCGACGCAGCCGAGGTGTCCACTTCCAGGCCCAGCAGGTCGCCTGCCTAAGGCTCATCCCTGCCTCACCCAGGGGAGCCTGAGAGGGAAGGCAACGCTGGCCCTGGAAGACATATTCACGTTCCGCGGACGTGGGTGTGCTCCTGGGTCCACCCCTGGGGACAGTGTGGTGCTCACCTCCTGTGCCATGTTGCCGTGCAGTCGCAGGAATTTTAATTGTGTGGAGGCAGATGGTGGCCGTCCTGACGCCAGGGTCCCTGAGCAGCTCGGCAGGGTCTGGAGGAAGAGGTGGTAGTGGAACTCCACCAGCTCACAACTTGAGAAAAAAACGAGCATCTTCTGGTCTTTTTCAAACTACATAGGTACAAAAGGGGAAAGAATGACCACACATTTTTATAAGACCAGGTGAGGCTAAGACGAGGATTTCTCTAAAATCTAGTCAAGCCGGCCCCAATTTGGCCACACAGGTGACAGACAGCTATGAATTATTTTACAAAAATAACCCTAATACAACATGCTACAAAGAGGAGATGAAAGGAAAATGACAGAGCTGTAACTTCCACTGGCTTTCCTGAATCTGAAATAAATAAATATGCCGTAGACTAAGGCTATGCACCACTGTTCCTGTCACCCATCCAGGGCTTGCCACACACATACCCCTGCCCAGCTAGGACCACGAATGTGGCAGATGTGACGCTTCACCCTCTGCCTCTGCATGCCCCCGTCTCCTACCTACTAGGAAAAATTATTACATGGTCCAGGAAATAATAAATGCTGGGATTGTAAAAACCATGAGCACAGGGCCCTCTGTCTGGCCACGTTTGGCAGGTCTTTGCCACCTGTGACACTCCTGGTTCTCAGGCCCAGAAGAGGACATGGACAGACTTCCTATCAAATGTGACAGTGATCGCTGACCTCTGGTTCTATACCACAACCCTGGAATTGCGGACTACTAAGGTCTGCATTTGCAAACATGGAGGGGTTGGGAAACTTCCCTGTGTGTGTGAGGGTCTCTCAGTTCATTGCTATCAGTGCCTGACACACCCACAAAAAAACAGGATCTTCTTCCCTCAACTGGGCCAGGCCTTAGTGCAGTCCCACCTTGCACTTCTGTAGGATGAAGGCTGCCAGGGTGACAAGTCTCAGTTTGCTGGGAACCAATGTCACATGCTGATCGAGACTCTCAGGAATTGCAAAGCTGTCCAGCTCACCACAAGCTGGAAGAGGGGAGGCCTCAGGAACCGCTCTGCCCTTTAGGTCAGACTGCCCATGGTGTTCGTCCAGGACAGAAATCCTGACTGGATTGAGCAAGCTGATACCAGCGAGCCATGTCACACCTCGGAGCAAAAGTGAAAAAAGTAAAACAGGTGACAGGTGACAGGTACAAGTTGTGAAACTTATCTTGTACAGGCACCACACCCCCACCCCCATCCGCCACACATCCAGGCTTAGGAAGAGGCTCCCTATGGGCAACACCAGGGCCACAATGGCCTGCCCTCGGGTCAGTCTGGTGTAGGAAGCCCACTCATTCCACACAAGTGTTTCTCAGCTCTAACCCAGGGAAGACCACTGAAAGGAACACTAACAGCCATCTGCTCCCCAGACGGAAGGGTTCTACAGTTTTATCTATCGATGAAAGGGTGTCATGGGATTCTTTCACAGGGCTTTATAGGTTTATAAGCCTTCTCAGAACCTTTATTGTATTGACATGCACTAGGAATTTCTAAGAGAAGGAAGAAACATGAGGCATCCCCCAAACTTCTGAGCACAGCATGATGGATTATCTCTTAAAATTAACGTCACTTAGGATATACATTTTGAGAACTGGGATGTGCACACTGTCAGAGGGCCAGTAAAATGGGTAGCCCAGACCTGAGAACACGAAAGCTGGGTTGTGCTAGGTGGGTGACTCTGCTGGCAGCCACTGCCAAGCCTTGGTGCCCCCAACTATGAAGGAGAGCTCAGAATGTCTATCCTATAGCATGGAAAGATAGAAATGAACTTAAAGAAGTCTCTGCTTAAGGGTCAGTGCTCTTTAGCAGAAAGGTAGCCTGATAACACCGACAAACGGGAATCAGTGTTTTCTCTTCCTCTTGCCCTGCCACAAGCAGCTCTGCATCTGCTCCGCCCTCCCCTCCCAAGCCCCAGGGAGCACAGCAGAGCCTGACAAGACTAAAGAAGGAGGCTGGGGGTGCAGGACAGGAGTCTGAAAAGGCAGTGCTTCAGGGACACCTCCCTCTTCACCCTCTGCCCCCTGCACTGAGAACCTCTGGACAAATGATGCGTGTTACGTCCACATCCTTCCTCCTGGTTGAACAAAGAGCATTCCTTTTCAATTCACCTTCTGTGAGTGTTGCTGACAGCAAGACATTCTGTCGTTTCTGGCACTCGGCATTGAGAGCATTGAGTATCACAGTGATATCCTTTTCAAAACCCAAATCCAAGATTCTGTGGTTTCAAAAGAGGGAAATTTTACTCTGCGTCCAAAGTAAAGACTGCAATGAGGACAGAAGAAATAGCTCTTTTCTCCTACTTCTCATGCTTCTGGGTGAGGCTCACCTGTCTGCTTCATCCAAAATCAGCCACCGTATTCGACAAAAATGAATGTTCTTCGTGGATTTTATATGATCCACTAGTCGCCCAGGAGTCGAGATAAGGATATTTATTCCTTTGCGGAGTCTGTTTAAAATTATGTATCATAAAGTAAATCAAATGGAGCTGTATCAATAGCAAACACAAGAAACAGGCATGGGAGACAGATTCATGTCTAGCACCGATGTGCACAGCTTGAAGCCATGATAAACACGATGACAAATGGATATACATATATCTGAGTTTCCATTTTCCTCCAAAGTTTCTCTCGTATAGAATGTAATTATTAAGATCCAAAATTCTATTAAATTCATATAACCTTAAATTTGAAAAGAATCTGTACTATATAACCCAATGCCCTTTATCTGATCCATGGATCCTCTCTTTCTAGAACACTTCAGATAGATGGTTATCTAGCCTGTTCCTGAAAGTTTCTGTGCCAGGGAACCTCCAACCTGAACGAGTTATTCCACAGCTATGTGATCTAATGGCTAGAATGTTTTCTTATATGGAATACTTTCTCTGTAAGCTCCGTACAATGGGGGACCAGCTTTGTCCCATAGACTAAAGAGAATAAATCTAAGTTTTTGCTTCCAAGCATCCTTTATCCCATATTTCCACAGCAATAAAATCTTCTAATTTTTAGCTGAGTATATTTTCCAGCCTCTCTTGAAGTTAAGTATGGTTGTGTGCCTATGTTCAAGGATGGGATAGAAGGATAAAGGGAATATGCAAAAACCACAAGTATCTTTGGAGGGAGGACGTACAATTATCTTTGTTCATACTGGCGGGGAACAAGATGTAATGGCTGGAGCTCTAGCAACTCTCTAAGACTATGGAGTACCCTTAAAAATGGAAACTTGATACAAAAAGATAAAAGGGACCTAGATCCGGACACGAGAGCACCACAACCAACCCACAATGGGCTACCGTCAGGCTTCTCAAATGTGAAAGAAAAATAAAACTGCCACGTTTGTGCCACTGCTGTTTGTTGTTGTTATTTATAACTGAATCAAATCTAACCAATACCTTTAGGTTTCAAGTTTAACATTTACTCAATTACAAACTGCATACATACACACACATGACTGGGTGTTACTACTGAACATTAAGATTTAATAGAAATGTTTCAGAAAGAATATACAATTTGGGATTTACCTGTTGCAACATTTTCTCCTGACTTCTATTACCACTTCCAAAACAGAATTAGGAATCAGTGTTTTGGATATAAAAGCAAAGCGTAAAGCATCATGTAAGTTTATGATCTTGTTTTCATAGAGCCAAACAAGACCCTAAACTCCCAATGTACACATAAAAGAGTCGCCGAGGGGGATGGACACCAAACAAGGCAGACTAGGGGCATGGCGGGGGGGGATGGAACTTAAGAGGATAGTGTGCATCACTACCAACCACATCAGGAGGGAACCCCTTGTAGGTATTTAAGACAGCCCCGTCCACAGGTGACAGCTCCCTGCTGCCTCAAGCTCTCCCTATGCTCTGGGACTAGGAAGCACAGTTTGAGACAAAGCTCTCTCCAGGTTTAGAAGGAACAAGTCTCACTGAGTAGGAAGGCAGAACAGACAGATCCAAATAGCAACAGACAAGAAACAAAGCTCCCATACCTGGCCTTTTCTGACTTCCTCTTCTCTCCTCCCATCAACACTCCGGGCACAATCCAGGTAAAGGGCTACGGAAATCCATCAGATGTGAATTAATGCAAAGCCCCCTTTACTGAAGACACAGAAACTGACTCCAAATTCTTTCTCCTTAGAGAAGCTAGGAGGGAAGACCCAGGCTTCTCATTTGTAGGAGGTATGATGGTGCAGGCACAATTCCTAGGCATCACTCTTGTCATGGTTACTAGCAGCAGTCACTTAAATTACAGCTCTATAATGAGCTTCCAGAATTGTGAGAGAAATGGGAGCTTTATTTTATTTTATTTTAAAGATTTTATTTATTTATTCATGAGACACACAGGGAGAGAGGCATAGACATAGACAGAGAAGAGAAGCAGGCTCCATGCAAGGAGCCCAATGTGGGACTCAATACAGGCATCCAGGATCACACCCTGAGCTGAAGGCAGACACTCAACCGCTGAGCCACCCAGGTGTCCCCAAATGGGAGCTTTCTAAATGATTTCTGTAGCTTCTCTACCTCTCCCCATGAAGCCTGAGTTGAAAACACATTCCTTCTTTTTCCTTTCTGGGTACGATAAAACCTAAGCACAAACCCTCCTTACTCCCCATCCCTGACAAAAGAAAGGACAGATCAGTTCTCCATCTAATTTGGTAGGCTGGCAGGCTATGGCTCTGCAGCCCACTCTCTTCTTTCTTAAGTCCTATGTGCAGCCTTCCTGTAGCTTTCCAAGTGATCACTTTGTGGTCGTCCCTCTGAATCTCCACATGTGGCTTGGTAAGGACCACAGTGAACAAACTACACGACTGTATGCACAGGAAACACTAGTCACCTAAGCTAAAAACTGGCAGTTAGTAAAGTTTAAATGAGTAAAATCCTACAAGTTATACCTGAGTAGAGCAGAGACACCCAGAGAATTGAGAAAAACTGAAATAATTCCTTGCTTTTTGAAAACAAAAATAAGACTGGTAGACTTCTCTTTTCTTAAAAAGTCAGGGGGAAAAGAGACAAAACTGAACCCATGGCTTACCTTACCTTAAGCAGTTTCTGGACAGTGTCAAAGCTTTGCAAAGCCAGCTGTGAAGAGTGAAAAGTTACAGATAATGAACCAGGCTGTTTTCCACTCCTCCCCAGCAACCTTTTAAAACTGTTAGACAATGTAGTGATTAGGATTCCAACTCAGACCTTAGGGTAATATTTAAGAAAAACAAAACGTGATATACAGAATCTACTCAGAATAATATGCCTTGTTCTTATACTTCTGGAATCTGTCAGTTTAGAGACTGTGGACAGAGATACCACGTCCACTCCTTGGACATATACAAAAATAGTGTCTTGTGCTCCCTCTGCTGGCTCAAATTCCCAGAGTGCCACACAGAGAAGTACAAGTCTACAGTGCACACAGATGGAGAAGCGAAACAGCATCACCCTGAATGTGCCTCCCTTTAGGAAGGTAGAGAATAGAATATGCAGGAAGGAGTAACTTGGAATAGCGGTCAATAGGTGACCTTCTGGGCACATTGCTTTACAGGTGGTATAAGGTATCCTTGGAATTTGCAAAATAGAGCACCGAGAGATGGTCACTCCCCAAGTTTATTAAAGGAACAAAATCCAACAAGCCCAATGGAAACCAGAGGAACTGAAAATTAATGTAGGTTATAACCATTAACAACCATCAAGAAGCCTCAACATAATCCCTTTATCCAAGGATATATATATATATATATATATATATATATATATATATATATAGTTTCCACATGCTTAGTATTCATGATGCATCCTAGGGAAGTAGCAAGTTGCTGCTGTAAAAATTTAAATAGCTTCATGCCTGCTCCTTTACAGGACTGAGCTGAGATAGGGCACTGCAGGCTATATAACAGGCTAAGTAGAAACCTCCATCTCCATGATCAATTCTCTGCAAGGAAGTGATTAGCATTTGATATGGGAAACAGATACCCTAATCTAAACTTGACTCTGTAGGCAAATAAAATAGATCAGATAGAAGAGATCTCCACCAAGAAAGAAGAAAAATGTCAAGAAGCTTAACTCTGAAGAACAAGTAAAATTTTTGGTATACTAGCCTCTTTTTAAAAAAAGTTTATTTTAAGGGCGACTGCTCTAATTTTTAATTAAGTTGTAATACGAACCAAAAAAAGTAGATGTAATTAATTCCTTTCAATAGTGCAGAAATTTATAGTATCATTAGTTTTAGACAATAGGGAATGCTTTTCCACACTTAGCTTATGATTTTCAAAGAGTACTTGAATTTTTCTTCTTGATGGTAGTCAAAAGGATTGCCCCAGGCAAAGGTAAGAGAACAGCAGGGAGAAAAAATGGTAAAATCCACTTTTAAATTCCAAAGGATCTCACTTCCAAAAGGAAGTGCCTGTTTAAAATTCATCCAGAAAAAAAAAAATAAAATAAAATAAAATAAAATAAAAATAAAATAAAATTCATCCAGAAAGTGAGAATGCTTACCTCTCTCGTTGGCACTAGTACCAGGGCATAGGGGCCGTCACTGCGCTATTGACACAGAAGGAAAGAAATGCCATGAGTGGGTGAACGAAGGTCACAGGACTCCAGGTGGACAGATCATCAGGGTGGCCACTTGCACACATCAGCAGCAGTATCATTAAGAAAGGGACTATGATGCCCACTACCCTTATTATTATGCAACCTGTTCTAAAGGTTCTGGCCCATGCAATCAGACAAGAGAAAGAAACATGTATAAATCTGGAAAATAGGATATAAATCTGTCATAATTAGCAGATGATATTTTACCCTAAAAACAAAACAAAATAAAAAAACTTAAAAGAATCAACTGAAAATCTACTAAAAAAAGGACAACTCAGGTAGCTGAATGCAAAATTAATATCCACAAATCTACAGCTTCCAACACAAAGAAGTTACAAAACACAATGGGGGGAGGGAAAACAAAAATCACACCAGAGCAGCAACAACAAGAAACTTGACAAAAAAAAAAAAAAAATGTATAAGATCTATATGACAGTTTAAAACACTCCTGAGGAACATAAAATAAAATTTGAATAAATGGGAAAATGTATCCTATTCTTGGATAAGATGGCTCCATATGACAAATAAGCTAAGTTAACCCACAAATGTAATACAAATCTAACAAAATTGCCACAAATAGGCATGTATGCATACATATATATGAAATATATAAAATCAGACAAGCTGATTTCAAAGTTCCTATGAAAAATAAATGTGTAAGAATAACCAAAATATGTCTGAAAAACACCAGATGTTAAAACAATTAAGACTACCATAATTTTAGCAAATTGATACTGGCATATGAATTGAAATTACAACAGCAAATAGGGAAAAGATAAATTATTCAGACTTCAAGAACAAAGTCAGAAAAGTTAGAATTAAGCTCTCCTTTTTACAAATGACATAAAACTCAAAAACTATAAAAGAAAACACTAATAAATCCTATTACATAAAAATTTTTGACTTCAGAATGGGAAAATAATACCTAAACAAAATCAAGTATTAAATGACACAATGAGGAGAAAACACACTACACATAAGAGAAAGGGTCAATGTCCTTAGTTTACAAAGGTCTGTGATTCAATTAAAAAATAAAGAAAAAAGACCACAACAACTGAAGTAGAAAAATGGAGAAAGGACATAAGTAGCTAATTTATGGAAACAAGAATTCAAAACATGGCTTTAACAAATATGAAGAGATGTTCAACTCTACTGTTAAATGAGCAAACGTAAAATAGCTGGTAGTGTCACGAGGGTGCAGGTGAGCAGGGAGGGGCTCCTGTGTGTCCCTGCTGCTGGGAGAGCACTATGGTTTTACCCATTTGAAGTTCAACTGCGGTGTTTATCTACCAAATAAACATGCCAGTTTCCCTTACAGGAATTTCCCTAACAGATATACCTGTAAGTGTGCATAAAAAAGTAAAATTATTTTACAGACCTTAAAGTATGTACAATAATAGCCTTCTTTATAGCAAAATATTAACATAATGTAAATTCTACCAATGAGGGACTGATGAGGTAACCTGTGGTAGTGACAGGCGTTGGGATACTAGATAGCTATTAAAAAAGCAAGGCAGGGATGCCTGGGTGGCTCAGTGGTTGAGCATCTGCCTTTGGCCTAGGGCATGATCCTGGGGTCCTGGGATCGAGTCCCACATCAGGCTCTCTGCATGGAGCCTGCTTCTCTCTCTGCCTGTGTCTCTGCCTCTCTCTCTGTGATTCTCATGAATAAGTAAATAAAATGTATTAAAATAAATAAATAATAGCAAGGCAGATTGGGCAGGGTACCGCTAAGAAACTATCCCAAAACATACTAAGTGAACAAAAGCAAGGTACGAAACATCATGCATAGCAAACAACCACTTATGTATCAAACCAAACACAACAGAAAAAAAACACACACAGAAGCTCCAACTGAAAGGGGAAAGGAACTCTTGTGTGCTCACACTTGCTCTCTCTGCAGAGACTAGCCCTGGGAGGGCCACCAGGGTGGGTCCGACGGCCTTGCACCCAGAGAGAGCTGGGCCATGTAGGGGAGAGGGAAGTATAAGAACTACTTTCCACCATGTACTGTTTGGTAGTCTTTTAACTTTTTTAAACATGTAAATTATCTCTAAAAAGGATCAATGCAGATAAGAGAAAACCAAAAGGAACCTAACAAAGGCCTCAAAGTCAGTGGCATCTTGAATCTCCAAAGTGCTCACAGACATTTAGGAATTAATCAAAACAATGTTAATTTAGAACCTAGGTGCAGAGTTAAAGCAGATTTGATTGCAAGCATGGTTTTCATGTTTTGCATAGGAAACATTTACCCACTAAGGAGAAAAGGATTTGGGATTCAAACTAGAGCTGTCTGTACTTGACATCAAGTCTGGGAGGCTATGCTGAAGCCCGGGCGAGGAATGGTAAACATGTTAGTACAACGGTATCAACGTGCCAGTGTGACGTTAGGAGATTCTGACATTTCAAAAGGTGTTACTACACAGAGAAGAAGAAAGAAAAATCAATTCCTCGCAGGGCAGAAGTGAGTAAAGAAGGATGGATGTGTTGTTAAAAAAAATCAGAGCCCAAATAACTGAAAGAGTGAAAACCCAGAACAGCAATCCATTCTCATTCCATCACCAAAGTAATTTACGACTCTGCTGGGTGCCATGAGTTTGCTGCTCCCTCCAGATAGGTTTTTTACAGGTCAAATCATTTTACAATGAATTCCAAGGGTCTATACTGAATATTATTTGAAATAAGTGAATTAAATTTGGCCAGAGAAAACTCTTTTTACAGAATATTACGATCTTCAATAAAATGAGTTGTTATTGATGTTAAAACATATGGAATAAATAAAAACAATGGCATGGCTGGTGAACGTTTCTGGGTATAAGCAAATCAAATCATTGCCGTTCAGACCAGCCACATGCCCAGGTTGTCGACAGTGAGAGCTAACACTTCATGAGCAAGTACTATCAAGTGGAGCTGGACACCAGCTCTCTGCCCTCCACGTGCATTAGCTCAGGAGCCTCACGGAAACCCTGGGAGACAGGCATTGCTATTGGCCCTGCACCACAGGTGAAGCCACAGAGGGATGAAATGGTTTGCCTGAAGATACACTCAGACCCAGGCTTTGAGCAGAGATGCCCACCACATGGTCTCTCTTATGGACATAATTTAATCTCTCCTGTCCTCAGGTCACCAACCTATGAAATGAGACACTTGGGTTGGAACTACAGGACCCAGGCTAGCTCAAATATTCCCTAATTCTCCAACCTTATAAAAAAACCCACCGTTAGCAAGAAACTCTCCTAGAATTTATAAATGGATGAGACTTTACCACATTATTGCAATACTTGGCCTCTCTCCTTCTCTAGCAAGGTATCAGTAATGATGCTAAGTCCTTCATATGAATTATCTCACTGAAAAGTGCCCGATGGGAAGAAAAAAATCAGTCACTTGTAGGAAATAAATTCCTCATTTATCCACCTCAGAGGAAAGCAGTATTAATAGTTTCTTTCTTGTCTTTTTATGCAAAGTATTATTTATGAAATCAGATCATACTGCACATACTGCTTTGTACCCTGCCTTTCTTTAACATGTAAGAACATTTAAAATTCACAAAGAGTAATTGAAAAAAAATGCCACTTTTAATGTCTATGTAAGGTTCCATCACTTGGATGTTGCATAGGATTTATTGATTTTAAATTATTTAAATAAAGTTTAAGTAAAACTTAAACACTCATTTTGAAATAAATTTAGGCTTACAAAAAAAATTTAGGCTTATTGTGCACAAATAGTACAAAGAACTAATCTCTCATACCCTTCTTCCAACTTCCTTATGTGGTATCAATTCTCAAAATCCCAGTACAATGATCAAAACCAGGAAATCAGCACTAATGTGATGAATTAATCTGCAGTCCATATTCTGACTTCACTAACTGACCTATCAACATCCTTTCCCCAGACCAGGATCCAGTTCAGTACCACATGGTGTATTTAGCTGTCATGCCTTGTCTCTTTTAACTTGGGGTAGTTCTTCAGCATTTCTGTTTTTGGTGAAATACTTTGGAACAGTAATGGCCAGTTACTTTGTAGAAGGTCTCTAGATTTGCATTTGTCTGATGTTTGCTTATGATTAAATTCAGGTTACACATTTTAGGCAGGAAAACCACAGAAGTGGCTGTGTTGTCTGGGCACCTATCTGGAGGTACATGAGGCTGCCACGTCCTGGCACTGGTGATGCCCACACCTGGGTAAGGTGATGACAGCCAGGCTTCCCTATTGCAAAGTTACTGTTTGTGATTAGAAGTATCTCATAGGGAGATCCTCTGAGGCTAACTAGGTAAATAACCCATTTTTCATCAGATTTCCACCCACTCATTTCAGCATCTGTGATGATTCTTGTGTCAAACAGTATTACTAAGGCACTTGCCAAATGGTGATGTTCTACTTCTATCACCTCTATGTTTATCCACTGGAATTCTGTGAGGAAGGCCTCTCCTTCTCCCATTTGTTTATATATTTATTCAATAATTCATTTCTATCAGTTTGTACTCATGGATATTTGTTTTAGCCTATGGGCTGTAATCCAATGCTATCACTACTTATTTGTCACTAAGTATCAGGTAGGCTGGATACATGCCTATTTCTATATGTCCAAACTGAGGGCAAAAGTAACTGATTTGCTCTTTTCATCTGCCTTGTACCGACCTCTCTTCCTATTTCAGATCCCACCATGTCCTCTTCACTGAGGACAACCAGGACATATTTGTAGGACTTTGGGCTGGGTTTTGAGATGATGCCTGTGCCTCTGGAGCTGGGCAGTTAACTTGCCTCCTATGGGACCCAGGGAACCCAATTTGGTCCCTTTGGCCCAAGCGCTAACTATTTCCCAACTGAAGACAAGTATTCCACACTGCTCCTCAAGCCTCCATTTCTTTCTGTAAACTTAGGGTAACAGTAATACCTGTTAAGTCACCAGGGTCAGGGGTGGGGTTTAAGATTCAAGAAGATAACATGGGCAAAGAATGCAGCACAACATATGACACAAGGAGCATTTATTTTACCAATGTTCCCTATTAGACCTGCCATGATGACTACAAAATATATTCTATTCTATTCTGGCCACTGTCCTCAGATACAATGTGTTTCTGTAATAAGTGAATTAAAAAAAATAATAATGCTAAATGAAAACAGACTCTTTAGGTCCCCATATTATTGCTTTGGTTCAGTTCAACGTTACTAATGCTCTATGAGCAATAACAGAAAAACACTATACTCACCTGTATTTTCGGTTTCATTGCTTGGAGAGACTGGACCATAGGGATGCAGTAGGCGAGGGTTTTACCTTTTAAAAAAGTATAAACACAATGAAAATCACAGACCCTACAGATGTAGGAAAAACAAAGATAGTAAAGAAAAGGGGCTTTGCTATCTTTGGGTAGCACTAAACTCTGGCAACAGGAAAAGTTCAAGTCTTACATCCAGGAGAGGTGAAAACAGAATTTGCCCATCTGCCACAACTCCCAATTTTGTTTATAAATACAGTACTTCCCCCAAAATCTGCAGCCTCTGCTCCTTTGTCCAACTAGCAAGGGAGACAATGACATATTTCCCAAGTTACACAAAAGCTCAACTTGAGGACTACCCCTCAAAGACAGAAAACTCCTTTAAAGTTATCCTTAACTGCACAGATGAGCTTCACAGACAAGTAAATGACCTGGATGGTGCTGATATGCTTAGGAGCCAGTCTGAATCCTGCACCAGACTCTAAAGACTGTGGAGAAACCAAGGACAGCAAAAGCTTTGGGTTTCCACCCACCTGAATGGTGGCTGAGCTGGGGAGGGGGGTGGGAAGAGTAGTGAATAGCCAACCTATCATTCTGGGCACAAGAGGGTCAGAAGAACAAGTCTACAGACAATTGGAACATGTAATATCTGTGTTCCATATTGGAGCAAAACAACTGGTATCCAATCAGTGTGTGCTCATGTTAGAACTGGGCTTCAGTATCTGAAGAAAATATTCATCCCCCCACTGGAGTGAGGAAGGCAGCGCGGGCCATCCACAGTGGAACTGGGCAGAGCCCTGAGAGAGGCTCGGAAGAGTGACAGTGGAACCCAACCACCTCCTGATTATTCCTGATCACAGCACCATCAACCACCCCCTTCCTTTCCCTAGGGAAACAAAGCTCTAATCAAAAACAGACATGGCCTTCCTCCCTCCCCCCAAAAGACAAAGCCGCCACCACAGACAGACACCTTACTATAGAACCGACTATGTGAATGGGGCCCAGATATCAGGGGATAAGGGGCAGAAATGATGATGACTGACCTGAGCCTGTCTGCGATCTCACCAGAGCATCTCTGCCTTCCAGCAATGCAGGAATACTTTGCTTCTGAACACTTGGGCCACCCAAAAGAAAGAACACATGCTGATCTACAATATTTTACTCTCTCATGTTTACAGGCAGAGAGGCAGGATACGTAAATCACAACCACCCCCATGCTTTGCTTTGTCTGCCAACTGCTACCTTCGAAGTTACCTAAATGTTTAAACAAAGGTGCTGAGAAACTTTTGATAACTGGAAAGATAAAACCACAGTCCAATTTCTGGAACTCAGCTGAAAATACTGAGGCAAGCCAGGGACTGGCTGCTCCAGCAAACTGATTAAAAAGAAAAATGGCACAGGCATGATGACCAGCTGGAGCGACCACGAGCACCTATCACACATCTCCCTGCCTTCTGTGGCAGACAGTGTGACACAGTAAGACGTGACGGACAGATTCCCATGCACAGGGAGGCTCATGAGCCATCCAGATAGCTGGGGCTGCTTCCCAGTCTCCAGAAAACCAAGGTGTGACTATTATACACATGCTAAGACATGTGTCCACAGGTGTATCTAAAAACAAACAACAACAAAGGGCACAGAATTCATTTAAATTTGGTTGATGAAACTGAACAAAGCGATTGGTATGGGACTCCTCATTTTATTCTTTAATACTCTTATTCATTTGTACATGTAAGTGAAACATGATGATTAGTAAAATGTAAAGCATACATAGTCACTAAAAGGAAGTTCATCTCTAGCCTACACCTTTTTACTATTCTATTTTCCAAAAGTTATCACTATTAAATGTTCAAAATAATTTTTTTCTTTATCCCATTCTATTTGACCAAATATTTACTCTCTTTTTGCTCTAATTCTTACTACTAAAAAATGACGTGGTAAATTCTATATCGTGGACATATTATTTTCAGGGAAGCATGGACAGCAGCAGGATCACATGCAGATCACATCTTTTGGACCAGTTCAGAGCTGAGAACAGCAGTAGATGGGGGTTCAGTCTCCCCATTTAACCAGTAGGGAAACTGAGTGGTTAAGTGCCGTGTCAAGCCCTCGATAGGCAACAATCTGGCAGTGTTCTCTAACAACAAGACACAAATTTGCTCTGTGCTCCACAAATAACTCAGATTTCACTGATTATGCCCATTCAAGTCTTAAGAAAAGCAAGACTGGTCTGGAACCCTTACCTGGTCATACTAGTCATATTTAAAACCGTATTTACTGTAGAAATCTAAAAGAAAACACACACATAAAACATTTTTAACTACCAAATTTTTGGCATATCTTTAATGCAAATGAGGATGCAAAGTAGCCGAAGAGACTGGGATTAAACGGATGACCGTGTTCAAGTCAAGTTCTTCCAACCAGTGTTACCTGGGGATGGTTCTGCCAACCCCTGCCCCCCACATATGGCAATGTCTGGAAAAATTTTTGTTGTTATAAGTGGGGCAGGGGACATCACTGGCATCAAGTGAATAGAGACATGGAGTGCTGCTGCACATCCTTACCATGCAAAGGATGGTGCCCATGACAAAGAGTTATCCATTCCCAAATGTCCACAGCATGAACCTACTCAATATCTCCATTCAAACCCACAGATAAAAAAACAGGTTATGTAAGTCACCCTAAAGGAGTAAGCTGTGGCCACAGGAGCAAAGGAAATCCAGACTCCCTAAAAGTTAATGCATTTCTCTCTTCTTACTCACAAATAAGAGCGAAAATTTCATTTACAGCCCCCCCCCAAAAAAAAACCAAAAACCACCAAGAAACCATCTATTTGTTTGTAGAAAATGTAAATTAAAATAGCCTCATCTTCCTTCAATTCTCTGTTAACAACAGCCTACCCTTGCTATAAAGATGCCAGCTTAGTTACCTCTCCTATGGTTACTGTGACCCCTGCTACCTAGATCAGCCTCATGTCCCATCTACCCACTAATGAGGAGCTGGTCCTGGAGTCTAATAATTGGAGTCCCAGGCCTAATTTGAATTAGGTAAGTGTTTAGTTCTTTAAAAAGGCGATGGGGATGGAGGTAAAGACAGAAAACAGTAACCTGAGCTCACTGGGACTGTCCTAGAAGAGCATCTTATCTGACTTCGTTCGGGTACCTTGGAGCAGAAATAACCATTCTTTGACTTTTCTTCCTAGAACTGTCATTTCACAGACATTCCAAATGAATAACCACACTGAAAAAACCAACTGCACAAGACACTGAGAGATACTTACTAAATGTGGGTGGAGGTCCAGTTCATGAAAAACATCTGAAGTAAACACCTTTTCTTGTACCTGCTTTACTACAGGTCTGTAAGTGATGAACAAAACCCAGGCATCAGTTCCAATCAACACAGAAAAGGACAGAACACACTTAACTCCTCTTATTCCTGAAGCACACCTGCACCCGAACATACCTGTGGAGCTCTGGAATTTCAGGATTGTTTTTAAATAATGATGAAGTCCTAATGCACAGTTTCTGTTCTCGGTTTCCATCAGTCACACCAACCAAAGATTTCTTCGGAGAAAACGTTTTCTGTGCCTTCCCCTTAAAAGTCCTTTGTGTTTCTTTAGCAGCAGCTTTCCTGGCTGGGAGAAATGATGCCTCATTCCTCCGTTTCGTTGGGGGAGCCTCACTGGATGTTTGGTGTTTTCTTTTGGTGGTCTCTGCTTGCTGCGTTGTTCCCAAAAGGCAAGAGCAACAAGAGATGCATTAGTCCATGAAAACAGACCTCAGAGTGAAGCCTGACTGCCCACAGAATTGCATCTCTCCCTGCAGAGATCATTATGCCCCATATGTCAAGCAACAGTTTAGGGTCTGCAATCAGATTCTTTGACTCAGCTTTTTTTTTTTTTTTTTCCAAAAAGAAAAATTCAAAATGAAACAACACAAAAATCTTCAGCTCATTCATCCACTAGACCTCACCATCCATCTTAACCATCAAATCAACCAAGAGGAAGGTGAGGATCAAGAAGGAGGAATTTGGGCTGAATATGAACAAACGGGAGTCCCTTTTAAGGGAAGAGAGAACTCACCTTGTGAAATGTGCATGCTAAGTCAATCCTTATCCCTAGATGTCCATCTACACAAAAAGGACAGGGGAGGGGGCAGTGCATCCTCTCTCTCCACCAACAAAGCCTGTTGGTGACTAGACACGGGAGGCTGCATCCCAGCCCATGCCCAGGAAGCGGAAACCTTCATTACTGCTCTACCCCAGAGTGCTTGGATCGCTGTCATCCTCCCCCCTCACGCTGCTCCCCCAGATTCAGATGGCTTGGAGACAATTCCTACTTGCCGTTTTCATTCCAAATGAGAATTCTGCTCCATCCATCACTTCTACCACAATTATTTCCAACTCTCCTTGCCTTTCAGTTCCCCCATCTGATTGCTGATTACAGGCTACAACATTCAGTATTTTCTTGCCTGTTGCTTATTTCTGTAACATGAATGTAGCTACATGTGCGATGTCCAAACTTCTAGGAGAAGAAACATCCAATTTTCTTTGGCCTACTCTTCCAATTTACACATGAATAAAAAACATCCTATGAATAGACAGGGCTTATTATTAGGGCATTTTGGTTTCTCTTGGTATGTTATTTTCACCTTAGCTTAAAATGATGAATTCCATTTACACATCAGCTTGTTTTGGCCATGACTGTCAGCTTCAGGCTAACCTACCAATAACAATAGCTGTTTGTTCCTGGCATCTACAGGACTCCTGTATCTAACTAATTCAATAAATACAACTTTGAGGGCAGCCCAGGTGGCTTAGCGGTTTAGCGCCGCCTTCAGCCGAGGGTGTGATCCTGGAGACCCGGGATCGAGTCCCACGTCAGGCTCCCTGCATGGAGCCTGCTTCTCCCTCTCCCTTTGTTTCTGCTCTCTCTCTCTCTCTCTCTCTCTCTCTCTCTCTGTGTCTTTCATGAATAAATGGGTGAAATCTTAAAAAAATTTTTTTTGGAAAAAATACAACTTCAAGTATTTACTATTAATAAAGTATTAATATACTCTATGTTACAAATCTATTTTTACAAAGTTTCAAGTTTCTGAATGTTCAGATTAAAGAAAGAGATTAGGCAAAGTTCCAGGTCTACCGAATCATTTGCAAGGCAGAAGGAAATGTACTGACATTCCTTGATTTTCAGAACTATAGGCTCTCAGAGAATAAAACGGCCTAAAGGCCACTCCTGCCATGCATGTTCCCGTAACAGGCTCTCTGACAAGTGGCCTTGCAGTACGCCTTGCCTACACACCTCCCCTTATTGCTCTCCATCTCTCCAGACATACCAAATCCTAGGGGTTAGAAAACTATTCCTGACACTCAGACAAGATTCGCCACCTTGATTATCTATCTGCTAGTCTGAGGTCTGCTATCTGCAGCAACACAAAACAAGCTTACTTTCTCTTGTACATCACATTCCTTCACACATCCTCTAACTTTTTGTTTCTTCTTTGGACTAAATGGCCCAAACAAGACATGAACTTTCAATCCTTTGTCATTCCAGTCAGCTTTTATTCCCATGTCAACTGTTCTCTAAAAGAAAGTGTTCAGATTTATAAATAGTATTTCATAGGCTTTCTACTGCTCTTAGGCTAAAATAAAAAATCTGTAACATGACTTACAAAGCCTTCTAGAGGCTGGCCTCTGCCCATCTCACCAGCATCAGCTGTCCTGGTCTTCCTTAATTCCTAGAACGTATCATGCTCCTTCCCTCCTCAGGGCCTTTGCACATGCTATTGCCATACCTATGTCTGCAACGCGTCCTTTGGCTGACTAACTCAAACTCCTTCAGATCTAGGCTTACAGGGTCCTCAGATGAACCTTTCCTGACCTCTTCTCTCCATCTAGTCAGGCCAGGTACTTTGGCTCTTCTGGCACTCTTTTTTCTTTTTTCTTTGCTGTAGCACTCAGTACAACTACAAGCATAAAATGTAATTTGTTACATGGTGTCAGTCCTCCCCATTAGACTGTGAACTCTATGAGAAAATGGACAAGTCTATCCTGTGTGGCACTCCATCCCCTGTATGGGCTCAATTCTGCCCAAAGTCAGTGTTCAATAAATGCTTGTAAGATGAATGATACACAATGAAATTATCCCTTTCCATAACAAGGACAAACAAGGACACTACTCCACTACTTGTTAGCTTTTCTGCCCCAGCATCCACAACACGTTCATTTAAAAAACTGACCATTAAAAACAAAAAAAACAAAACAAAAAAAACCCCAAAAAACAAAAAAAAACTGACCACTTAGTAGCTTGGTTCTGAAAATGGAAGGCTAGAAAATTAGCCAAGCCCTTGAGGAACTCATAGGTTTGTGGAAGAGACAAAAGTATAAAACCACAAACCCAAACCTATATTTGTACTCAGAAGAAGTGTGTTACAAAGAATTATGAAAGCACAAGATAAGATGTCTACCATGGCCTACAGGTAGGGTAATGGAGGCCAGGAAACAGAAATGCTTCCTGAGGTGGCATCTAACCAAAGAGGAACAAGGACCCAAATCTACTAAAAAATCAGCTTTACATTAAGCAAATCACCTCCCTCTGAGTCTCTGCTCCTACCTGTAAAATGAGGGGGTCCTGGCAGATGACCTCTAGGGCTCATCTAGCCTTAAAAGTCTAAATGCTACGTCTCTGATATTAAAAAAAATATACCGTCCCCCAGGCAATATGCTAAGTATGTATGTCAATTATTTAATGTATCAATATAGGTAAGGGGAATCATCCCATTTTAAGATGAGAACACTGAGATAGAGATACAAAGTAATTTGTCCTAAGATCCAGGCTTTGCTCAGGCACCGATTCCAAAGCCAGGGTTGGTGATGATTATGCTATGACACTATTTATTAACTGTATCCTGTTTGGTTGGAAAAACATCATGTGTAGCCTGATCCCTCTGTTTGTTTTCTAGAAGAATATATACCGAAATGTTAACCAGAGTTACCTCTGAGGATGGCAATTATAAGTTTTCCATTATCACACTTCCCCTGTTTCCAGTAATAAATTCGTATTACTTGAGTAATCAAAAACACTTTTAGAAAGAAAACACTGCATAGTGTTAGGTATAGCCATCACTTGAATTGTCAAGGCCTTTCCAAATTCAGCATATTGGCTACCCATCCCAAATTCAGGCCACTGGTGAATCTGACTGGCATACCTATAATTCTCATTCAAGACAAAAAAAAACGCAGACAAGGGCGCCGCAGACACCTGTCATCACCTTATTAGTGCATATCCTTGACACCGTGGTTCAAGGGATCATAAATCCAGACACTGTTTTCATCCCTTCAATTCACTCAACAAAGTGTTAATAGCGCTTCTTCCGTTACTAGGCCCCTCCGTGGCGCGAGCACCCCACCGCCCTCTGGACATAGCAATTCTATTACTCAGAATGGAACCGATTCAACTTTACTCACCATCGGCATTTATTAAGCGCTTCTACCGGCCGGAAAGTAGATAGAGCTTCTATGTACATAATGTCATTTACTCCTCATGGTAACTCTTAACGTGAAGCAGAAACTGCTGCTCTCATTTTACAGATTGGAAAAGTGAGGTTCAGAGAGGTGAACCAACTTCCCCAAGTTCACAAAGCCAGCACGCTGCAAGCCGGGCATCTCGTCCCAGGTCTGTCCCGCGCCACATCCCACGCCCCCGGGGGCTCTTCAGTATTTCCCCTTCCTCCTCCCAGAGAAGCACCGACCCCCCTCCCCTGGCTGGCTGAAAAATCCCTACTCCCAAACCTCTAAATCCTAAAGCTTGATTGTCACTGAGGAAATCGCCAAAGAGAATCCGTGTGCGACCTCGAGGAACGTCGGCTTCCACCTTTGGCAGCGGACTCGTCCACGGAATCACCTGTTGCTTTTCGGGGGAGACGACGCACCTTCCTCGACGCCAGGTGGGTGGTACGACGTCCGGCGGCGGCGCTAGCTCGGGGTTCTACGGCACACTCCGCCCTGCGGCCCTCCCCGCTTCCAGGGGAGAAGTCAAGCAGCCCAGAAACCGGTTTTCAGAGCCGGCTCGGTTTAAGCGGAAGGCACCTGTCCCGTCCCCGGTGAGCGCTTCCCCGGCGCTCGGTGTTGCCTTCCTCCCCCCGGCACGTGGGGGAGAACCTAGGCCGTTTCCGCACGCTCCTGGGGGAGCGCCCTGCTCTCGGGCCCTCGTCCCTCACCCAGACGCCGCTCGCTCCGGTGAGACCCCGGTGGCTGCGCGGCCCTCGGAGGTGCGGCCGGCAATGCCCGGGCGGGGGCCGGCGTCCCCTCTCCTCCCCTCTCCCCTCTCCCCCTCCCGAGCCGAGCGGAGCCGAGCCGAGCGGAGCCGAGCCGAGCCGAGCCGAGCCCGGGGGCCCTCCATCCCGGCCGGCGGGCGCTCCCGGCGCGGACACGTGCCGCTCGGGACGTCCCCAGAGGCCGCCAGCCAGCCCTCGGTGCCCCAACTCCGTCGGCGGTCCGAGCCCTACCCGGAGGCGAGGCGGCAGCTCGCGGCGTGCGGCGGGCCCGGCCCCGGGCGCGGCCGGCTCTGAAGCGGCGGCGGAACTCAGCCTTCCCGCCGGCGCCCGGCGGGGTCCCACCAGCGTCCTGGGAGCGGCGGCCGGAGACTCGGGGACGTGGACCGACAGCCGGCCCGCGGCAGCCATGGCGCTCGGCGAGGCGAGGCGCGGACGCAGGCCCCCGCGGGCGCCCCCGGCCCTGCCCCGGCCCTGCCCCCGCCCTGCCCCCGGCCCGCCGCGAGGCTCGCACCCACGTGGGCGGCGCGCGAGGACCCCGCGCAGCTGCCCCGCCGGCTCCTGCGGCCGCGCCGCTTCCGGCCCCCGAAGGGCCCACGGGCCGCGGCGCCCGCTCGGCCTGGCGTCCCTCGCGGTCCGGCCGGCGGCGGGCGATGCCCCGGGACACCCAGCCCTGGGGCTCAGGCTAGAGGAGTTCTCTGAGAAACCAGGCGCCGTGTGCCTCCTGGGCAGCGTTTCCTTCCTGTGCCGCCCGGCTACCGCCCCCTCGGCACCAGTTCCCCGGGCGGTGTCCACAGGGGCCCGGGGCGTGGTGGCCCGGAGACGGGGCCCTGCAGGAGGGCCGCCGCCCCCGGCCCACCTCGGCCGGGCCCAGGCGCTGCTCCGTCCGGCCCGCGGAGGCGGCGCGCTTTCTGGACAGGCAGCGCCTCGGCCACCTGGCAGGGCTGGGTCGCCTAGCAACGGCGGGGTCCTTCCTGGCTCGGCGGCGCTCCGGGCCTGAGGGGAGAAAGCCGCGGCGGAGGGCGCTGGGGGCCGGCGGCTGCGGCGGCGGCGGCGGCGGCGGCGCAAGGGGCGGCAGCGGGACGGCGGCGCGGTGTTGGCGCGCCCCGGCATCCCGCCTCTGCACCCGAGGGGAAATGAGCTCGGCCGACAAGGCCCGGGTGGGCCCCGCGGCCGACGGGCCCGCGCCGCCCGAGGAGGACGAGGGCGAGGGGGGCGGCGAGGCGGGCGGGAAGGGGCCGGCGGCAGAGGCGGCCCCCGGGCCCAGCGCGGCGTTCCGCTTCCTGGTGACTCGGCGGGAGCCGGCCGTGAAGCTGCAGTACGCAGTGAGCGGCTTGGAGCCGCTGGCCTGGTCGGAGGACCACCGCGTGTCGGTGTCCACGGCCCGCAGCATCGCTGTGCTGGAGCTCATCTGCGACGTGCACAACCCGGGCCAGGACCTGGTCATCCACCGCACGTCGGTGCCCGCCCCTCTCAACAGCTGCCTCCTCAAAGTAAGTCACCCCCGGGGCCCCCGCCCTAGGGTCTCCTCTTGCCCCTTCCCGCAGCGGCGTTACCCGGCCCCCGCGCCTATTCCGGGGCTCCCCCTCGTCGGTCCAGAGCTTGGGGCTGAGCGGCCGGGGTCGCCGTATTTTAGGGAGAAAACAAAAGCGTGGCAGCCGTTTGCGCCCGGTGTTCCAGATCGCCCTCCCCCTTGCGACGCGCACAGGTATCCCGGGAGGTGCGGTCGCAGCCGGGTCCTTCCTCCGCCCCGGCGCCTGCCCCACTGCTGGCGCGGAGGACTCTCCGCGGTGCTTTCTGAGACTCCACCCCCTTTGACCCAACCCCAGACCTTGCCTCCACAGTTGCTCCTATTGTCTGGAATCGACTCCCGAGGCCCTTGTCTGGCTTTGTTTACTGTGACGTGCCCTCCTCCCCTGCCTCTTCTGCTTTGGAGAAGAAAATTTGGTCCTTTTCATTGCCTTAGCTTTCTTAGCGACTTTATCATACGAATGTTCCATCTCCCCTTGAGCAGCTTGAGCACTCTAGTTTTTTGTTTTTGTTTTTAATAGCAGAAAGTCTTTGGGACGGGGAATGAAAAGTAAAGACTGGCAATAAAGGCAATTCTTAAACTTCAAGGCCTTTTTGTAGAGTTAGGGCTTTCGGCTTCGTAAACACTTAAGTTTGCTTTCAGAACTTTAGGGTTCCTGGTTTGACTATTTTAATGTCACCACTTTCAAATTTATTTTTTTCCCCCGAGTAGTAAGTCATATTGTTCGTTGGTGGGTTTAAAAGTATGGAAACTTCCCCAGTTTCCCTTAAGTCTTTAGTACACATATATGTGATTTGTAAAAACTGGGTATTCTGTATATTCACTCATTCAGCAGACATTTGAATTAGCAGCACCATGTATCAGGCAGGTGCTGATCTAGGTTCTGGAAATAAAGCAGTGTATGAAACCAAGTCCTTGCCTTCATGGAGCTTATGTTCTTTGGCACATTATGAATGAGAAGGACCATCATGTCGTTTAGCGATAAGCAGGGTAGAGGTATGTATCTGTGCCCAGAAAATGCGTTTATGTGAAGATGAAAGGTTTGTAAACTCTTTCTCTGCACTGCCGTTTTAAATATGAATCATCAGCTGTGGGTAGGGTTCAGAGCGCCCACGCCACTTTTTTTTTTTTTAAGCACAAGAGTTTTATTTTTATTTTTTTTAAATACAGCATCTTTGTTTTCTGTAACTTTTTTAAAGTTTTTTTAAAAGATTTTATTTATTTATTCATAGACAGAGAGAGAGAGAGGCAGAGACACAGGCAGAGGGAGAAGCAGGCTCCATGCAGGGAACCCGATGTGGGACTCGATCCCGGGTCTCCAGGATCACACCCTGGGCTGCAGGCAGCACCAAACCACTGCGCCACTGGGGCTGCCCAAGCACAAGAGTTTTAAACAATTGAGTTAAATCACTGGTAGACTGATATGATTAAACCCTGTGAGATCTTCTTGAGAAGATACGAACAAATTGGTTCGGGTAGACAGATATTGGTAATACTGTGAAATTGAGAAACCAGGAGGGAGGCAGAAGAAAGGGGCTTTAAAAGGTATATCCTTACTATTTCTAAGAATGTTCATGTGCACATGAACTAGAGGAAACTTTGAGTGTATGTGTCCAACATGGTCCAGATTTAATACTTTAGCAAAGAGAATTTTTTTAAGGGGGTGAGGGATAGGAGGGGCAAAGGAAGAGGGAGATTCTTAAGCAGGCCTCATGTCCAGCACAGAGACCATCTCCGGGCTCAGTCTCACAACCCTGAGGTCATGACCTGAGCTGAAATTGAGAGTCGGGATGCTTAACCGACTGAGCCACCCAGGTGCCCCTAGCAGAGAGAATGTAAAGAATCGAAGGAATAGTGAGGGGAGGCTCTTATATCAAGTGTTATCTGGTGTTGAATCTGAAGGAGATCTGAAAGAACATAGGATTTGGTTCATAAGAGGAGTAGAGGATCCCTGGGTGGCGCAGCGGTTTAGCGCCTGCCTTTGGCCCAGGGCGCGATCCTGGAGACCCGGGATCGAATCCCACGTCGGGCTCCCGGTGCATGGAGCCTGCTTCTCCCTCTGCCTGTGTCTCTGCCTCTCTCTCTCTCTCTCTCTCTGACTATCCAAATAAATAAATAAATAAATAAATAAATAAATAAATAAATAAGAGGAGCAGAGAAGTGGCATCCACGTAGCAGGAATGAGGTGTCCATCTTATTCACAAACATAATTAAGTCATGGACATACTTTATTGTTAGGGTAAGTAATGATGGATCAACAGACAATCTCTTCTAGAGAGAGAAAGTGAGGTGAGGTCAATTTGGGAACTTCAAAGGTCAGTCTGAAGAAGTTGGCTTCAATCTAAGAAGCCCAAAGGTGCTGTAATAGTTTCATAAGAATGGATTGGCCTGGGATGGTTCAGGAATACGAATCTGGTGGGCCTAGGAGTAATTTAAGGATTGTTGAGGTCAGTTTAAAATAGAAGGTACGAGATTGGGCTTTGGCTCAAAATAGCAAGATAGGCCTGTCTGTAGGAGGGGGATGATAAAATCTGTGTTGTTTCAACTTTTTTTTTTTCCTTCCCTTCTGAGAGAGAGAATGTGTGTGTCCAAAAAGTGGGAGGGGCGGACAGAGAGAGAATCCTAAGCAGGCTCCACACCCAGTATGGAGCCTGACCTGGGGTTTGATCTCATGACCCTGAGACCCTGACCTGAACCCAAATCAAGAGTCTGATACTTAACCAGCTGATCCACCCAGGGCCCCTAGACATCTTGGAAGATTAAATACAAATACGTACATGTATGTATGTGTATATACGGATTTGTATACATGTATATATGCACAATCAGTACGGTTCCTGGCATGCTGTAAATACTAAGTAGTAAATGCAGTCCTACAAGTATGAAGGAATAAGGGTCTGGATTAGTACTAGAGCTGTGAATATGAAGATTTACATAATCTTCTGATAAAAATTGGACTCTTACTGGTTGCACAATTGTCTAACAAGTAATAGGAATTTTTTTGTATTCTGCTTGTAATTGGTAGATAGCTTGCCTGAAGTTAATTAGTGGCATCTTTCCTTCCTGTACTGTTCTTTGGCATGCGAATCACACAAACCATCCATCAGTTAACAGTCTTACTAGACTAGGACCATTTGGTGAATGAATGCCGAGTTGTCCCTGCAATTATGAAAGAGGCCTCTGTGGGGTAAATCCGGGCTGTGATGGTAGGAATGTAAAGAAGTCTGTGTCAGTACTTTGATGGCTCTACCCATTGGCAATGCCTAGGGATTTAAACTGCTCAGTGCTGTCCAGCTTGCCTTTGCTCTGACACAAAAGGTGGTCATTCTGCAGCTTGGACCCAGTTTAGTGTATGGCACTGCTAGAAGGCTAGATGCTAAGCTCCTCGGAAGCTTTTGCTTTTATGACCATGTTATTTAGATTATGAATTTCTTCCAGGAAAATATACAGTTATATAATAGTTCAAATATGATCTGCTATTTGCAAGTTACTATGCTGGACACAGGTTATAGGATATCAAGGAGGATGCTATAAGTGAATGATATGAAAAGGAATAAAATTGTGATCTAAGAATAATTTGCAGTTTTTCTTCCCATTGGACTGCTGATTTAGTGAATCATCTAGTTGGGCACAATTCCAAATTCTAATAACATTTGTGTAACTCATTTTATTCTGCATGAATCATTAGGAGCATGAGAAAGTTTTAACATCATCGACATTAAGTTAACTCTTGGCTGTCTTTGGAATCCTATTCCTGCCTTCAAGAAGTTTCCTGTCAAGTGGCTTCAAGTGAATTTCTATTCATTAGGTACTTACAAAGGATTTAGCTATTAGCAGTAATACTGGCCAACTTGAAACAGGATAGTATATAATGAAATGATTGGCTGGGTCATCTGGGAGCTGGACTCCTAGGTGGTGTGCTCCTTGGCCATCTGAGTACAT